ACGCTCTTTATAGGCTGGAAAGTCGTATTTTCTTGTTCATTTCATGACTTGTGTAGTCTTCTGATGGGTTCAGTCTAATTTAATGACCCCCATTCTGTACCATTTCGATCTCGTAAAACCTTGTAAATTTTCCGACATATCAGTGTGGTGATGCCTGCAAACTGGCTTCTCTCACTTTAAGTCACTGATATGAGAATAAAATATTTATTTACTTATTTATCATGAGGTTTCAACTAGTTTATTGCATCACGCACATTCTTTAGATCAAACCCAATTTCCGAGGTTTTATGTGCACCAGTGTCACTGGGTGTGGCAATGCTGTATGTAAAATCAGTGAAGGGGGGTTAGAGGTTTCGCTGAGTAGGTTACGTATCTCTGCGGGGTCCGTAACAATCTTGTTTCCTACTTTGGACATATTCAGCATGTCAGGTCCATTGCAGAGCCTTTTTCCAAGAAATGTGACAGGAAGGCCAGTTTTATTCTCATGTTTTAGAATTTTGCTCTCAGTGAAGGTTTCATCTCATCTGTGAACCAGCAGGTCGCTAAAGGCGGCATGGATACTAAGAACTGTAGAAAAGTCATATGCTGAAGAAAAATGTCTTCTCAGTTTCTTTAGTTTTCACCCCAGTGTGATAGGGATGTGGTCTTTGGTATTAATACGTGGCTCTTGTGCTTTCTTTTGGGCTAAATAGTCGAGACAAAAATTTGAATTGAGATAGGAGTTTGCAAAGGAGCTCTTCGAGCAGCCGGATAAAGAACTCGTCCCAGCCTAGGCAGAGTTCAGCACTGCGAGCATAGCCAGTCCACGTCGACAAGACTTCTGCGAACAAGCGTTGTAGGCTTCAGTAATGTGGAAGCGCGCTCACATAGTGCGAAGAGTTGACAGGCTAAAACTTTGCGATCACTTTCTGAGAATTCGCTGCCAGTATGTATGGTGAATGGTGGTGTATTGTTTAAAAAAATCTGGTCAGGCGTATTGTTTCGTCGAGTACAGCTACCAACAATTCGAACTCATCCATTGGTTTTTAAGGTTTGAAAGAATGGCTTGAAACGAGGTGGTCCTTGCAGTGTCTCCCACATGATACCCGGCATATTAGCATCACCACGTACTACTGCACAACTCGGTGGGGACGACGGCAGCTTGAATATTTCGTTGATATTTTCGTCAACGATAGGTCCAGCGTGCGGAGGCCTACGCAGGCAGCCAACTGTACATTTGTAATGTTGGTAAGCGTTAATTTTTACGAACACCGCATCATCTAAAAGGTCCCAGCCCAATTAGGAGGCGTCCGAGGATGAAAAGTCAGAGCAAACATAGACAATGCAACCTCCACGCTTAGAAGTACTGCGTTCACTTCGACACAAACTGCAGTTATCATCCGTGAGCCCGGTGCTTGAGATATCTGATGTATGTCAAGCTTCAGTGATTAGGATGCAGCAAGGTTCGATCAAGTGAGCAGACATTTTGGACAATCTAGCTTATCGCACGCTGAACGTAAGTTAAACAGAAGAGCGGAGAATTCTGATGGGGCTGCGAAAGGGGTTAGGTCATTTGCAAGATCGGATAAAGTGTTCTTTGATGGTCATCATGGGATACAGGGTGGGAAATGTCAGGATGTAGGCAAGTTCCGTAGCGCTGCATACCAGACAATCCACTGTTGCCCCAAATGATGACCGGTCATTTATTGGCCTTGGGGATGGGAGGGTGTCACTATTGCATTTCCACCGCTGACCTGACTGCTGGCTGTAGTTGATGGCAGCTGACTGGAGTATGTTATCATATACACGGCCAGAGGCGCTATTATTTTGTGAGGCCCAAAAAGGATGGAGTTTCGGGGGGTTCCGGAGCGTAGGTTTTTTATAGAACGCTACACAGGTGTTACTTACGCCAACTTTTATGTCATAGCCAGGGTAGGTAAAAAGCCCCTTATTCTGGATACTCAGGAGGATAGTTGTGGGTTTAGTTATGTTGGGTTGTGAACCGAAATATGTTGGTGGCGCAATGAGGTCATATTGCCGGGTAGACGGAAACTGTAGACTAGGATGTGACGAGAAGAACTCATCGTTGTTTCTGGAAACCAGTCTTGAGGTGGCTTGGGCTGTCTGTGGTGGTAGGCTTTGCCTATGCTCTCCAAACTGAACAACTGGACCCTATTATGGCTAGCTGAGATTGTATTGCTTCCTGTTTCTGGACGAGGAGCGTTTTTATACTTATTTTTGTATGGGGTCGCATCAACTCAAGGCAGACGTGTAGGGCTAGATGGCACCAGGCTACTAGGGGTTCGTAAGTTGGCTGGATAGCACTGTTTGCCGTTAAAACTTTTGAATCTCCACGGCGTTCACTGCAGTCAGTGACAGGGTCAAAGAGGTGGGCTGCGCACACTGGTCTGCCTGTACTACATGAGTAGATTGGCTGCCTTGGAGCCGCTGTAGTTCATCACTAAGATTTGTATTTTCACCGAGGCCTGTGGATATTGTATCTACGCATGTTGGTGGTATGGAGTCGGCATTTTCTATGCCTACTGTTGTATTTATAGGTTTTTCAGCGGTAGCTGCGGGAGAGGTAAAAGTCAGTGAGGTTGTGGCCAGCTGCTTACCCCCACAGATCGTTAACCGTCGGCCACTTTGGGCATCCCGAGATTTTAGAGAGACCGCGATGTCAATCCGCCATGGAATCTCCATGTGCGATGCTAATAAGAAGTCAGGAGGTATTTTGACCTTGTCTTATGGTGTTGTGGGTGCTATAGTTCTCTGAGAGTCAGAGAAGTGATTTGCATTGCACAGCGAGTTAAACTGGAATAGGACAGGACACGGGAACTTGATTCTTCTTTTCTTTAGGCGACGAACATCACAGGTTGAGTCAACTGATCATCATCCTCATAAACAATCAGTCCTAACCCGCTCAGGTGAGGAACTGTCAAAGATATTGAAAACTATTGAATTAAAGGGAAGCCACATTCGGTTGCTTACCTCACTGACTATGAAGTGGATCACTTTTTGGGTCTAACAAATCCATCAGTAGGAGGAGACGTTCCATCTTACACTACATATTCCTAACTGCCTTCGCGACTTTCATAGTATCAGGCCTGACTTTATTAACATCTCTGCAAACGTCAGTCACCAGATCGGATAACTTTAGTGACGGGCCGCAATCACTGGTGGAACTTTCAACTTTCGGCGATAGATCAGATAGTTTTAGCCTTTTCGCGCCAACACTCCTATTTCTACAGAGGCTACTGACATTTGTTTTCACTCCCAGAGAAGCAACCAAGAAATGTAAAGGATATAGATAATGCCTCAATGTCAGGCGAATAATTAACAAGTCGAATGATAACAGATAATGGATATCAGCCAACATCAACTCAGTCGAGAGTTAGGCAACAGCAATGGCCTTCTTTGCTAGATTTTAAGTATCATTCGATGGGTGGGCGACACACCGTCTTTTCGCTACTTTGAAGTCAGGATAGATCTAGGTAACTTCAGCGTTTGGAAGACCGATTCAGTGTTTCTTTGTGTCGCCCGTGGTCCGGGGTTTACAGAGCTAGGAAAGAGATACTTTTACCCTTAAGGGATTCAGCGTACTTCCAGGGGGCGGATAGCAACCACATGCTACAGAATCAAGATTTCCTTGAACATGAGAGAAACGAAAAGTTACGTCACGTTCGTAAGTTCACGTCAAAGATTCATAATCTCACCGGATGCTATGACTGAGAGGTAATTACCTGTATTTTTCAACTCCAATACGAATTCGTCAAGGGAATTCCCAGAACATCTTGTCCGCCATTTAGCAAGACCATTGAGATAAAAGTCGTTGATCGCACTTAACTTATGGCTTGTTTCCACACTGCCTCGTCTGTCCCTCGAGACCAGACCTTCTCAAAATTTGGGAGTAAGAGGAATCAGAGACAAAACAAACTGGATTGAAATATTACCGAGGCAACTCTCACAGTCAAGCTAGTAGGAAGATTCGGAATTATAACCGAACAGAGTACCTGCTCAAAGTAAATGTCAGGGATTTTAATGATAAATCGGGTAATGATGTTTCAGCGGGTGTTCTGGAATCCCATAATTTCCTGATCCATATCACGGGAAGCAGTGCTACTACTAAACTGCGTTAGTCCGGCTGATATAGCACACAGTAGTAGTGTTATTTAACAGAGAACCTTTTGAGGAAATGTTACGACTGGTACTGGTTTCAAGGCAATCCAACAACCACCTTGATATGGGCTTGAGCGATAGGCTGCGCCCGAGACAACAAACAGCATATGATGCTAGTTCGCTGAGTGTCACATCAAGCAGACAAGGTAATGTGGAATTACATTCTAATACGGTGCTCAAGTTCCATACTTGCCTTACTGATAAACTGCAGTATGTTCAGAGCTACCTATGAAGATGCACCTAAGCAGGGTAGCTTTTAAAAAAGTAACAATCACCGGATAGGAAAGCATGAGAATAGAATGTCCAATAATGGACGACAATGCAGAGCGCGGAAACCGGGTGGAACCAAAGACGGAATAAGAAATAATTTGTAGAGGAACGACTTGTCAATAAGCCTAGTAATCATGCCATTATCAGTTGTGGTTTATCAACAAAAGGTTCAACTACTTATCCAAATGGAATGGCATGTAAATAGCCATGTAGGCAAAGTACATCGACATTTTCATCAACTTCCGCTCTTCCTTGTCGTTGATAACGCCACCATAGCCTACCTCTTTTTGTGGTTCTTAAAATACCTATATCTTGCATAAGCAGTCAGTTCGAAGAGCCTATTCTTAAAGCTTCCACAACTACACATATCTGGGTTATTAGATGCTTCGCAGAACTCTGAATTTACTTTCCGCATGGGCAAGCGAAGTGCCAAAATCACACACAACTAGGCAAGTGTCAGAAAATATCACGCTTGAAATTTTTTCCAGACCTTGAAAAACGCGAAAATAAGCTAAAAATAATTGTTTATTTTAACAGTGTTCCTTAGACATTGAGCATAAACAACCAAGCTCAGAACGGTGGCGGTGGTTGTGCAGTAGCGCTACTGGCGTCATGTGTCTTAGTAATGTTTGTGAATATGAATGATGACTTTGGAGATCCCATGTTGGGTTCAGACCAACTATTGTCGGTTGGCCTTGGTGGGCTACGAAACATAGGGAATACATGCTACATGAATGCAGCTTTGCAAGCTTTGTCCAACTGGTAATTTTGGTGACTTTTGATAACAGTTTTTCAGTCCACATTTGACAGAATTTCTCCTTGAATGCCATGACATTATTGATCCAAATCGAAGGTCTCCGCTTTTGTCTCATTATTGCAGTCTTCTATCTGAATTTTGGGGAAATGAAAGGTAAGTGTTTCTTCACTCATGGTGATGCAATAATTGTGAATATGTACACATGTATATGAACGTTTTCAAAGCCAGGTGTATACCGGTTATCTACCAGATACTTTTGAGTTTGGATTATAGCTGTGCGATCCGAAATAACTTGATTGTGTGCATCTGTTTTGTTAGTCTTCAAATTTGCGAAATACTGTTGAGCTTCGTTCAGGTAGAGCTTACTGGTATGCTATACTGAATATTATCTGAAAGGAAGCCTGGTTTTCGATGCTGGCATGTGCAAGCGAAAAACTTGTCGTTCTCTAACCTTATCTATAGGAACGCATAATATTGCCTTGATACCCACCTTTGTCTGTGGCAACCATGCCTAGTCTGGGAATTAGATCAGGAAAAAAGAAGTCGGAATGCTGTTGTGCAGCAGCCAATGAGCCACAATTATTTTGTGAGGCCAAACGGATGGAAGTACCTGGCTGCGCAAAATATCGGTAGGTGAAGCGGGTTCCAAACCCGTGGACCATTTTTGTCATCACCCCAAACCAATAAACGGCACCTCTACAATCATATAAGCGTTCTGCTTCAAATCCTTATAAGGGCTTAAAGGCATTAAAATATTAAAATATCTATCTGTTTAACATAACCTTTACAGAACCAATTTAGCTCTCGACCAACGTTGATTATCAGACATTGGAACAAGAGATTTATCTTCAAGATTGTCGAACTGTACATAAATCGCTGTCTGAGTGTCGCATTTGGGTATCGCAATATTTGGTCTAATTCATAAGGGATATCTTTTAAGTCTATCAATACATGTTAGAACCACAGAGCACATTCCGCATCGGCTACAACAAGAACAAAACTGAATGACCGAATTGCTCGAAACGTATATATATATATATATATATATATATATATATATATATATATATATATATATATATATATATATATATATATATATATATATAGCGTGTCGTGAGCAATTTCGTGTCATTTCATCGACAGCAACCGAACATTCATTTAAAAAATCTTCGAGATCCTGAGAGTTGGCATATATAACCCAAACCAACTGTCTGTTATTTAGTGGATCAATACGATATCTTGGTGTAGCTACTCGTCTTTTTCTAATTTGATCCTAACTCAGCTAATATAATGTCAAGACTTAGACGACGTTTTCTCGATGGCCACGTCAACTGCGGAGTAAAATAGTGGACCGTTCCATTAGACTGATGTAACGGGGCTTAAAATGGTTCCGGTTACCGTAGTGGTGTTTTTTCATACATGCTATTTTCTTCTCTCATACTTTCATTTTCTATTGTTTTGCCCCCACTGCACTCACGTTCACCAGTCCAAATTGATAAAGCACTGCACCAGGTTTTATTTCAATTACGAAGCTGCTACTCATTGCTTCGGGCACTCAATTTTCCATGAGTCAACCACGCGTTGAAGCTTAGGCTGTTGCAAATAGGTAGCATAATCGACCTTTATAATGATCATGGCAAAGTACATAAACCACTTGGTAAACGAGTTGCATACAATCATCATACTGTTTTGTTTGCTAGAGCGAAAACTGGATACTACTGTGTGTAAAAGTCCCTGGGTTCATATTCTGGTCACCTTGCTTATCCCATCTACTGTGATTAGTCAAGGCTCTGCGTGTGGTTGTCAGTCGTACTGTTTTCTAATTTCATTTCTTATGTATTTATTCCATTTTTCAACGCTTACATTTAGGCGGCGCTGTTTCAATGCAAACACAATCTTGGATGCTTTCTGTATCAGTCACCCAATGTTCAGAGGTTACTCACAACACGATGTTCAAGAGTTCTTGAGACTTTTCCTGGTTCAGCTGCACGAGGAACTAAAGCACTCCAGGTTTTCAAGTCCAGTAAAACGAGGTACGTAGAGATTCACAAGAAATGAAATACAATTACCTGTTAGTAGTAAGAGAATTTATTCCATGTGGGTCAAAGGGTGATAGATAGTGATGTAGAATTAAGTTTACAGGCTATTTAGATCAAGCCGCTTAATAAATATCTAGTTCATGACTAAAGTGATTACTGGTAATAATTAAGTATCTCGTATCAGTTATTACAAGCACAATTCTCTACTAACTGACTGACTGACAAAATCAACGTAGAGCCTCGCACAGAAGTGCGTCGGCTCAGGTTACCACACTTCACAGTAGTACACAAAGACCAGGTGGATTAAAAAAGAGTGATATCAAAGTAGACAAAGTTGTATGAGAGAATAAACAATCGGAAGATAAAGCTTAGTCACATATTCAAAGTTTATAAGATGTCAAGGAGTGAATACATCTGCGTCTCTGTGACCGGTTTTCAGCCATATCAGCAAGAGTCGTCAACCACTGATTCCTTTCATCTCGAGTACCTCAACCAGGCAGTCTACATCTCTCCCCACACCTCATGCCAACAGTGAGAGAATTCATTGACTGGTTCCACTTCTTGGTCTGGCCACACTGAATCCTCCCTCCAACCTCATCCAAGTTCCCCTAGTTATGGCACATCGAGGTAGGTGCTGGCTCGAGATGCACAGCACATGTCCAATCCATCTGAGTCGACTAAGGTTGAGAACGTCATCAATTGACTTGTGAGTCTTTTCTGTTTCCTTCTCCTGACTTCAACATTGCTCACACGGTGATTCCACTGGATGCGAGCAGTGCTGCGAAGGCAGCTGTGATCAAAAGCTTAGAACTGTTTCATGTCGCCTGCTTTCAAAAGCGATGTCCCACAGCCGTATAAGAGGACAGAACGGACTGCAGTGGAGTATATTTGTCCTTTGATAGATAGTCGGATATTTCACCGACGTCCTAGGTTAAACAAGTTGGCAAATGGCTATCAGGCCTTCTATATCTGAGGTGAGATTTCGTCAGCAACCAACGCGTTCAAACTTATACGATTCCTCAGGTAAGTGAAGTGGTCGACACATGCCATCACTTCACTCCATAACACAACACTATCACTCATCCAGAAGCTTGGTTCCACCTCCAGTCTGCTGTAAAAACAGCGTTGAAGATCGTAGCTGACTTTCCAACAGTGTTTAATAAAAGCCAATGGATAACAGCAGCTTCTTTTGAATCAATGGATGCAAGCGAACGCATCACTTCAGGCTCTGAGTGCAATGAAGAGCGAACACAACTCAAATGTAAACTGACAAAATGTCTACGAATGACCGTGAACAGTGGTTCTATAATTATTAGACACCTGAATGGAACTCCATAATAGCAAGTCCGAGAAAACCGGGCAGGCTTCAGACTTGGCCGTGAATGTATCAACTAGATGTTCACACTCTGCCAGGTTCTGGAACACAGGCACACTTATCTACCCCAGACACCGACTGTATTTCTCGACCTGAAGGCGGCGTTCGACTCCATCGATCGAGAGGTCTTATGGCCTTGTCTCTCATCACTCTGTTAAGGGCTCTTTACTCGAACACCTGTGAGCATGTTAGGGTCTATGTTCAGATATCGGGTGAGTTATGTACTTCGACTGTTGTCCGTCAAGGACGCGTACTCTCTCCACTATTATTCAGTTTTGTCATAGATGTTCTTATGGAAGTCTCCTCGTTATCTGACCATACAGAGATTGACCTAGTCACAGGAGAATTTTTGGTAGACCCAGAATACTCGAATGACATGTTCCTTTTAGGGAAAGACGCTGACTAGACTGGGGCAATCGGTGAATCAGACCAGTCAGATAGGACCGTATTTGACTTCCACACACTAGTTAGGACTTCAGTCGACTAAAATTCCTCTACCACCGCCCTGTGCATCAGATCAAAATTGCACAATGCACTTCATGAACTGAAACCTGGGATCATGGATACATATATACACAAGTGTAGTGATGGTGATAAATATTAAGGTAGAAATTACTCTTCTTGAGTGAATCCCCGATGTCAGACGCCTGCGCCTTAGGCCACAGCATGCGTCAATACCTATTTTTAGTCCACTTTTCTGTATATCCACTAGTTGCAGTCTGGAAAGAGTGAAGGAAAGCTGTCAATTTTGTTTCAAAAGATAATACTTTCAGAAAGTCTTATTATTAGGTGACGTCAGATGATGGCATCATTCGAGTCCTGCATCGAGCAGACAACGATGGTTGTCTTCTGGAGTCCGACTTCAACAATCGCCTGTTTCCAAATACTAGTTTCAAACGCAACCAGCGATACCTTTTTATTGGACAGTCACAGAAATACAGATAATATTGTTATTATCCATCATTAGAAAAGGGTTCTAAAATACCAACGATCTTCTTCGAGCACCTATATGTGTATTTCCATCGTGCGTTAGTTTGAGTACATATGTATGCACATGACGAGCACAACATGCAGCTGAAAGGTATTTACGATAGCCAAACACAAAAACTTTCACACTAATTTGACCTGGCGCTGTTTAGTATTTTTGAGAAATAGTGATAAGAAAAGTGACCTACGACCAAAGGTCAGTATGTCTGTGAACCTGTGGCCTAATCCAAACTGATGGATTCGGAAGGAATGCAGTCTTGTTAACTTTTATCTCAGTTGTGAGAAAGCAGATTAAAAGTAAAGTAACTGAGAGTTCCTGCAAAGAAAGAGATCACTGATGGGCGCCAGAAGTCAAGGACATAAATAAAATATTGACATTACGCAATATGAGACCATTAGTGTTAATTAAGGAGAATGTCCTTAGTACGATTACAGTTAGCAGGATACAAACCACCATGAAACCCAAAATAAAGGTGCAACGGTTTAATTTGCCGAACCTCAAAATACCAAACATAGTTCTTCCTGAAGGACCTGTAAAAGATGAGAAAGTGTGACTGGACACCCTATGAGAAATCTACTCCAGCCCGGTCGCGCAGGCTTTGGCAGTTTTGAGGTTTTGGTGTTTTACTTTTTAATCCCAAGCATCGACTTGCCCTAAAGGATTGTGATGTTAACTTTTGGTACCGATCTTTTCTAAACCTTTTTCCAGTTGGGAAAGCAGCATTAGCGTTGCGCTAGTAGTCATTTAAGTGAAACATGGTACTGCTGTCAAACTCCATCCAGCTAGCAGTAGTATGGCTTCACCCTCAGACCTTTATCAAAGTGTAATAATTTAGACTACGACTGTAACTGCTCTACGTCTTACCGCTATCCAAATAGACCATCGTAGCATGGTAGAACCTCGGGGAACAAGCGTTCCAGCAAGTACAGGTTGTTGGGTCATTGTGATATTCAAGGCCGACCACCGCGTCACGGTAGTAGCTATCGGTCATGACAAGCGTCTGCAATAGGATATGGGCTACATCTGTGAACGGTTGCGTAACTGTTGTGCCAAGATATTAATAGGTGCGACTGGATCTCCCCCTAACCTTCGGATTTTTACAGCGTTTATGATAGGCTTACTTCATAAAATATCATATGCGCATTTCTGCTTTATTCTAGGAAAATAACATTTTATTCGCCGTCTGGAGGTGTCAACGGCCCACGCACTTCCAATGGTCCACAGAACCCACTTCCAAAGTGCATTCATGACTGTTAATCGTTACATTTGTTACTACGAAACAGTTTTTATGGAAAACTTGATTACAGTTCACTATCTGACCCTCCAAAACAAACACGTCTATGTCATTATAGAATTTAAATTTATTTTTAAAAGGAACCCACGGCGTCTATCGAACTTCACCAGAGTTGAGGGCAAATGAACTTTGTTTATTAGAGTTGGTATAGGTAGTGCTTCTAGTCCTGTAACAGGAGGTATTCTAACACCAATAGGAAACCACACATTATACGAACTAGTGATACTGTGCGATTCCCGTATTTTGCTAGGTCATGAAGGCCTGGAACCTGACTCATCCGTTAAAGCGGAGTGACTAATGCCAAGTGGCTTTTTTGCACTATCATTTCTGCACAGGTCCACCGTTGAAGCATGTCTTTTAGATTTACTTTCTTTGTCAGGTTTCTCAAGAAAAATCTCTTGTGAGATGTGGAATGCCGTTATTGCCGTTATGTTACACATTTCGCACGACTCTACTGGTTATCAAATGCAACTACTTTACTACTTTATCATCCTTCACATTACAAACAAGACATTAATGAAGGTGACTGATAGTCACTCATCGTTGATGAGAGTGTAACTGTTGAGGCCGGCTCAAAACATACTTGTATGCTATGGTGTCATACATAAAATGTATCTTTATCTGTAAATCAATATCTTCCGTTATATTCATAAGTGGCTGTTACGCGTATTAACTTATTCACCTCGATCTTATTACAAGCAGTAATTTATGCTTGAAACGTCACCCGGTAAACAATACTTTGTCTCTTTGTGCTCAATATGAAATAACGCCCTACCATGTTGCTCGAACTATATTCTTGTAACTTTTCTTGTCAGTGCCGTATTTCGGTGTATTATGTGTGTGCTATAAAGGCTTAAAGTTATGCATTTCACCAACCGAATCGTATTGTTTTCTAAAAACAATTTTTGCATTTTAATCTCTTGACGCAAAGTGCGGGATCATCAGTCAACTCACTATGCGAGATTCTACCTATCTGGCTGCATTATGGTACAGAGTGAAGCCTTAGTTCACAGACGTACATACGATATGAACGATATAAAGCTGTACTAAACGTATAAAAACAGTGAACTGCTAAGGTAGGGTGCTCAATTCGAGGAAATAATTTAGTATATTAACGGTTGTAGTGGCGAAAAACGCTACGTTTCGATGCACTAATTTCTCGAAGACTATTGGTCTAGCTAGTTCCTTATTCACATTCATAATTTTATTTTTCATCATGTGTTTTGTTGAGTACACGATATGCATTCCTGCACTTTTGACTAACAGATTCTGTAGACAACGGGATTGAAACCGTTTACCCTAAGCGATTCTTGTATGTTGGCGTTTCGACGAAATACTTTCGCTTTCCATCTGTAGATTGCTTTTGTCCACATCGAGAATCAAATTAGGTAGCCTTTCTTCCTTACCAGAATTGTAAAATTGGAAAACTAACTGATCCTTTTGCTGGTATTGTATTTAGTTCACTGACCAAAACGGTTTCACCTACAAGGTTGAATTATGGAATATCCCAAATGGTTGTTAATTGCTAATTTGAGACTTTATATTTTGTTCTCAACAAAATATTTTGTTAAACGTCTCTGAGGAGCCATTCAGTTTAGACAGCATACCATCAAAAAGGAGTACACTGTCTTTATTTTGATTAGGATAAGTGGAAGAATAAATCATTTGTATCATGCTCAGTTAAACAATTTATGATCCTATTATGGTTATGCAGTTCGTTTTGTTTAATTTTATCTAGGCACGAAGCAAACCGCCCCCAGTTCGTCAGACAACAGCAGTAGCATAATCACCGATGTCTTTCAAGGAAGATTAGTTAGTTCTGTGCGTTGCCTTTCTTGCAACCGGGTTAGTCACTTATTTGTTCGTGATTAAATGGTTTCGTTAAACATTTTTCCCCACTAATTTTCTCTGTGCACTAAAATCATATCACAGTCTAGCAAAGATTATCACTTTGAACCGTTATCCCGTCAAGTTGAATTCTTATACGATTCATTTAACTTTCACCAGCTGGAACTCCGAGGGTCTCCAATGCCTGAAAGTCAGACGAGTCATGCTAGTGGAGTCTCCCTACTTCCTTTATCCTGGATGTGAAACGTAGTCATAGGAGCACACTTCTAGCCATGTACATGGTTGCTAAAGTTCGATAGCCCAACTGTGTCAGTCAGTAACAATGTTAATATCCTAATACAATAATATGTTGGTTCTCTTTGGCACTTTATTCAAACATCACTGTGAACGGAAGTTGAAGAGAAGGAAACTGAAGAAACGTTTCAAGAAAGAAGGAAATCATGAAACACGGAAGAGCAATATGTTTATTATTTTCAAGATGAAGAATGAGCGCTACTTACTTGAGTTGCATCGCCTAGTTTTTCATAGCCAATTTCGCTAGTCTGACAGATCCCTACCAAAGGCTGCGGTACATAAAACTAGTTTAAATGATGATGTTTAGTCACAAAGAAACAAGCATAAGTTATTAATTGTTAGCTAACCAGTTTTACTCCATTTTTGTAACTTAGAGACATCTTTATTGTACACAGAGTAACTTCCTAGTATATAGGTCATAGACGACTTTCTTAGCATGCCCAGATCTACTTCACTTCATGCTGTAACCCTAAGTGTAATGTAACAAAACATCTCTCATACCACAGGGCTATTAAGAATGGTGTTGTATTTAGTAGTCATTACGTCACTATGAAGTCGCTGCCGAATTTCTCAGCAGTTATATGACAAACGGGGAAGTCTTCACTATGTACTCTAGTAATGTTCGAAATTAGTTTCGTTTTGGTTGGGGCTTTAATTAGTGAGTTTGTTTTACCATCCGTAAGTCAGTGTCAGTTTGCTTATCATTTGGTTGTGTTCAAACGCAATTTCACATTATTGTTATTGGTTGAATATCACCTACTTTTCAGCCGTCAATGTGCTGCATAACCAGACCGTGTCATCGCTAGCAAAATAGGTAGCCAGTGTTTTAATTTAGCTGACCGATGATTACAGTTTCTATCGCACATAGGCTCCTACGAGATATGTCAGAATTTCAGGTATGGATTGATTACAGCAAATAACTTTTAGCCAGACTGCCCCTATACTCTCCCACAAAAACAACAGTTTTAAGTTCGCCACATTTTAACTTAAACATTTTTCCCAGTTCATCTCGAATATCAGCCAAAATAATTTTTCGGAATTCATCAATAATAAGTGTTTTTCCGTGTGAAAATCAGGGATTAAGACAAGTCTATGACTTAATGCATCTGGTACGTAAGGTACGCTTCTGTTCCTATCACATTTACTGCTTTTCCTTCTGTCATCTTGAGATGTTGGTGAATTCGATCGGTTTACATAGTGACAGGTTTCTAACTTTCCTGATTGACCTAAACTAATGTAAGGATTTTCAAAGGGTGTTTCTAGTGTATTCTTTTTCTCCCATAATTTTTCTTCCAACAAATACACTTTTGTCGTCAAATTCCTTTCTTCATAGTTGTGAAAACGTTTGTTTTAACGCTCACAACACAAGAACAACAATAACTTATGTACCATGCTATGAGCCACAATATGTGAAGTTTTAAAAAAATACTACCCAGCTTTCCAAGCTGAAGAAGGCCGAGGCGGATTTGAATCCTATCTTGACTACTTAAAAGTCGCGTACTGAAATCGCCAAGTCCCACTTTTGCATAGGAAAACCGTGTATTTCATTAATGTGCGAGCAGTACCCAACTTCAGCTTAATTGTTAAAAACGAAAATAAAACTTTCACTAACTATTATTTGGCATTTATACTTGAATCACAAGTTGGTTTTCGTCTTACTGTACTTGACTTCTTCACTAATATCCTGTCAATCGCTACTGTTTTTCTTACATATCTAGCTTTCAAATCGAGAAGAAACGTTCATGGATTTATCTCTTTCCCTTGCCAGACCCTCTGTGCAAACTTGTAATATATCTTCTTCAATCAATCAGTCGAAAAAATCCTCCATTATGAATGGCTCTGTTGTGAAAAATGGACCTGTGTATGTTAAAACATCAGGCGATGCACAGTACACACAATCTTCCGGTTCATCAAGTCCAAAGCATCTAACTCGCAATTTAAAAATGAAGTTTACCTCATTATCTTCATTACCGGGGGTAGATCGTTTGGTATCCGGCATTCCCTGGCTGTTAACTATGCTCATAACAGTAACTCATATATTGCTTTCTTATTTAAAGAGTTTTATTCCCTCGTAAGTTGTCGAGTCATGAATTTGTGCTTGTTTTGGATGAATCATATGTACATGGAGTTTTTTTTACTTACATTAAGATTATATTGCGCGTTGATTATCGTATTTCTGTTCAAAATACAAGCACATATTTACATTTTTGAAAAGTTTCTCACATTTAATTAGCGCAAATTTAAAGCTGTCTCTATTAATTTTTTCTTTACACGATTTAATTTTTAGAATAGTAAGCAAGGCTTGTTAGGGTAGCAACAGACTAGCTGGTGAAAACACGTCACACGTTTTACTAACAAACGTGTGTGCAGTCAGCTGTCTAGTACTTCCTTATGGCTGTCATGATCAAATGTACATCTATTAGAGAAATAAAGAAAACATCTGTTCACCTGAATATCAAGTTGTTGGCATATATTGGCCTGTGAAGATGACTGCATAGACGTCTCTTAAGCAGTACACACCTCAAAGTGTGCTAAAATCGTTTATAAAAAAAATCATTTAGTGGACGATGAACTTCACAGTGACACAAGTTTAACGCGTCTTGTCATAATTCACATCACAAGTAATCTGTCAAAATTAAACTCTCATATCTTCTCTGTAGTGTGTGAATGCATCCTTTGTTTGTGATTATTTAATCGGGATTTTCGGAGCTATCAAACCAATAAAACTTTTTAGTGGTTCATTCAATAACAGACTCACAATTTTAAATTATACGATATATACTGAGATTTTCGGATCGTCCTATCCTACAATATGTGTATGGATTTTATTATTAACTCAGTCGGTTTCCTTGAGTTTTGTGTAGATCGTGTCTGTAAATTGGTTCTTCAAAATAGGAAACATACAGATATAATTAGAATTGAAGTGTAATTCTTTGTTGGAATCCCCCATTTGACATATTAAGCAATGGTACAGTATTATTCCCCGGACGATGTTTTGAACGCAGTTTACTGTTCATAATTGTCTTATCTTCTGAATATAGGCAGTAATTTGGTCTCGAGATATCATGTAGTAAATAGAATATCGATAATATGTTGTTTTCAATAGATAAAATCTACACTGTCAGCCACAACAAACACATCCTCTACTTGGTCTGAACGAGGCTGCACAAATGTCTACTCTCTTTTATTATTCTTCCAATGCAGATTAGCACTTGTTCTTCTTTCGTTATTTCTGCAACTCAAGGTTGTACCAAGTTGGCAATCTTGGATAAATGGGAACGTATATTGGATGCAAGTTCCTCTTCTTTTCTTGCGATCTAGAAAACAATCTGTTTACATTGTGAATACATTTTCTTGTACATCCGTTCCTTCTCTCTAGCTCACGGGAGAGTGAAACATTGTTCTGATTATTTCCTGTTTCTGTACAGTTGTAATCCATTTTCATCACTCATTTTCTCTTCAGTATTGTCTTGGTTCTTAAGTATGAACATATTCCTGTAGGAATTCATTGGCTTAGGCACTTTACTGTAATTTGATGAGGCCCGGATTCTAACTCGCATCCACCTACCAACGTTTGAGCAACCAGGTAGTGCCATCAGTCTTCATACAATGGGTGTAACTCATTGCCTAGTCTATTCACATGTGCTTGCTTGCTGAAAGTGGTTTTATTCATCTATGTATTACCTACTTATGTATCATTCAAATGATTTCCTTGTGAAGGGATTCTTTTTTGTCGCAATTATAGCCCGAAACGGTGGATAGATAAATGGTCTACTCTTACATTGGATGACTGTCTATCTCATTATTTTTCTGAGGCAGAACTAGTCGGCGAAAATCGATATTTCTGTGGAAGGTGTAATAAGTAAGTGTTAAGTACTTGATTGTTGAGTAAATTTAATCTTTTCTGAATTCATTATCTCGCCTTTTAATAGTTGTCGACTAAGATGTTAATCACTTGGCGGTTATCTCTGTTTTTGAATCAACTATAGTGGTACTAATAAATCTGGTGCATTTCTTCATCTCAATTGTCTTATCACATTTCGTCATTTGCTTCATCCTCACTTTTTTTCCTTTTTCACCTTTCTGCGACTGTTGATTGTGTTCTTTCTATATCATCGTCTTTCGTCTTGTCGCCTTGTATTTTGACGTACTAGTTAACTAGTTCACTAGTTACTAGCCGGTCATAAGCCCGGATAAAGAGGGAAGGCTGGGCGTAGGGATAGCAACCCTACCCCGGAAGCCAATCCAACCGCTACAGAAACTTCAAAGCACAGACAAAATATAAAAAATAAAAACAAACTTATTCCTCGCTGGAATTGAAAAGACGAAATGACGCCAGTTGCTAAAAGCCTTCAGGCGATTCGTCTTCTCTCAATGAAAGCGAAAGTAAGGATGAGGACATGGAATGTCCGCACAATGTATGAACCTAGCAAGACTGCCCAGATTGCGAAGGAGATGAGAAGGTACAGCATAGAAATGCTAGGAGACTGTGAAAGCAGGTGGAATGGAAGTGGACTCTCCAAACTGTCAACTGGAGAGTCAATAATACACTCCAATATTGTCACCCAGACGACAACCACCAGCACACTGAGTTTTCGAGTGGCTATCATGATGTCCCCCTCCCAAGAGCATCAAAGGCTTTCAAGCGGTGGGAACCAATCTCCTTCTTCAGGATCATGACAGCAAGAATCAAATAAAAAGGAAGGAAAATCACAATCATTCAATGCTACGCTGTGCACCTACAAATAATGCAGACGAAGAGAAGAAGGAGGAATTCCACAGAAAACTGTAATCAGTACTGGACAAAACCTCAGTTAGCGACATCAAAATTCTAATGGGTGAAATGAATGCCAAACTGGGAGCGGACAACGCAGGAAGAGAACTGATCATGGGTCGAGAAGCACTCGGTGAAATGAACGAGAATGGAGAATTGTTTGCAGACTTTTGCGCATTGAATGATTTGGTGATTGGAGGCACTATGTTCAAGCACAAGGATATCCTTAAAGCGACATGGATTTGATTTCACCAGATAGACACACCAAAAATCAAATCGACTTCATCTTTATGTGAAGAAAGTGGAGACGCAGCCTACTGGACACAAGGTCAGATCAGCGAAAAGAGCAGATGTAGGTTCACACCTTTATCTAGTACAAGGAATCTTCCAATTCAAGTTGAAAGCCTTCAAAGAAGTTGGTGATGGACTACAGTTCAAGTTCAACACCCAGAACAGAAACTGGAGGACGAAACTTCAAAGGACATCTTCACGTCAGTCATCAGCACAAAATGGGCGACATTAAGCAACATCCGTGAAGAAACCTGTGTGGATGAACACTGAAACTCTTTGAAAGAGATGTTTAAAGAAACCTGCATAACCGTATTAGGAAGGAAGAAAAAAGAAGAATGAAACTTAACGGACACATGGAAGCTGATAGATGAGGGGGAGGAGGATTGTGAAGCAGAAGATAAACCAGTGCACTGCAAGGATGAACGTCGAGAAGAGGAACTGAGTACAACATATAAAACTCTACACTGGACAAAGAAGTGAAGAAGAGTGCACGCAAAGACAAAAGACACTTCTGCTACATGCTTGCAAGTGAAGCAGAACAGGCTGCTACAGGTAGGAGAGACAAAGACCTGACAACGTATCAAATAACCAGGTCACCATCAAAGCGGGAAGAGATCAGCTCAGATGAAACCAATAAAATATGAAGGAAATCTAATTATCAAAGAAGACAAACAAAAGAAACAATGGGCTGACCACTTCAAAAAGCTGTTGAATCCACTACCACCAACACCACCTGCAACTCATCTAGAAATACCACCAGCAACGGCAGAACTATCAGTAGACACAAGCCCTCCAACAAAAGCAGAATTCCTGAACGCTATAAAGTTGCTGAAATCCGGGAAAGCAGCAGGACCAGATGGAATCCCACCAGAAGCACTGAGAACGGACGCAGAGACAACAGTGGACATGCTCACGCCACTATTACAGAAGGTCTGAAAGGAAGGAAAGGTAACTGGCGATTGGAAGAAAGGCTACCTTGTCAAACTGCCAAAGAAGGGCGACCTAAGTCTTTGCGCGAACTGGCGACGAGTTGTGTTCCTGTCCCCACTCAAGTAAAATAATAAGCCGCATCATCCTGGAGAGACTAAAAGATGCACTGGTGAGGATGTCAAAGCCAGGATCGGAAAAGCAAGACAGGCTTTCATTAATTATGAAATCAGTGTGGAGATCTTCTGCACTCAGCACAAAGAACAAGATCTGGATTTTCAACACTAAAGTCAATGCTTCTATATGGTTGACAGACTTGGCACGTTACGAAAAGCATTTCCAACAAACTGCAGATATTCATCAACAACTGCTTACGCTCGTTACTGAAGCTCAGATGTCCAGAAAGAATAAGCAACAAAGAACTCTGCGAACGAACCAACGAAGCAAGAACCTATCACTCAACAAATATGCAGAAGAAAGTGGAGATGGATTTGGTGTGCACTGAGAAGACCATTCGGGGACATCACACCCCAGGCATTGGAGTGAGACCAAGATGGGAAACGGTGAGTTGGGCCTTCGAGGGTGACATGGAAGAAATCATGTGAAGAAAAAATGAATGCTTCTGGGCAGTTTTGGAGCCAGGTTCAAAAGATTACAGAGAACAGAGTGCAATGGAGTTCGCTACTAAGAACCCAAGGGACAAATAATAATAATGTAAGGTGTGGCAACTTGTACTGTTATGCGATAATTCCCGGTGTCATGTTGATGTTGACTGACTGATTGACTGCTTATCTATGTCTGAAACTAAGTTATTGCGCAAACCGAGCATTGCCATTAGAAGTACTGTTCGTCAAAGGTATTAAAATGGGTAATTTTAATTAACTCCTCAGTACCTTAGGATGAACGTCGCTTTATTTGTGGAAACCAACGTACTACTTGTTAATAAAACAAATAATGTGCGGGATGAAATATTTCTTTTCAGTTAGTTCCTCATCGATGGCTCTGCACTAATATATATATATATATATATATATATATATATATATATATATATATATATATATATATATATATATATATATATATATAACACTGTATGGTCACTACAAGAACATAACAAGTGACCACAGGGTTACAGCAAGTTGCTGCGGAGATATAAGAATCACTTTTCAGCCTTGATTTAAGACCTCTCCATTTAGCAATTGGTTGACTAATCCGGTTTTGAAGGAATTCAAATAGTTATTGCTAACATGTGTGCTTTGACATCGTTGACACCAGTCATGTGATACCTCTAAAAATGGCTGTTGATTTTAAGTGTGTTCCATAGCTCATTAAAGATGAATCTGATGGCCTTCTGTCACATTTAATTATCTTATTTTTAATCCTTTGTTTTTCGCCTTGAAGAATTTATATAAGGTGTAGTAAGTTGACTCGTTACGCACTTCCCATGGAGATGTTGGCTGATTGATTGTATCGGATTATAAATGCTTGGACATTTTTACTGTCCGTATCCTCTTTGTTTGACTTTTGTAACATTTTGTTGATGTCTGTGCTTCCCCGCCCCCCCCCCACTTGTATTCATTTTTACGTTATCACTAAAATGTCTTCTTTAATCGGTACTCATCTTACCAATTAGTTGGTGTAAATCGCTATCATTTCACTTTTCACTTTTCTACAGGCGATGTAACGGTCTAAAACAGTTTAGACTTGTAGCGTTACCAGAAATTCTTACTCTTCACTTGAAAAGGTTTAGCAGTAATCACATGTACTCTTCCAAACTGTCATCACCAGTAAATTTCCCGCTGAAGAGTTTAGAACTTTCACCATTTCTGCATCGTGATTGTAAAGATAAGGTAAGTTTTCTGATGTGTCGTTTAGTAAGCATTGTTTATACTGTAAATTTATCATTCCTTCTGCACTCAATACGTTTTTTCCCCCGGTGAATTCAAACTTGTTTATGATAGACGAAATAGATAGTATGTGATTGTTCGAAGTGAGTTTTCCCTCTAATCTTTGTTATCGTGATCAAAAATAACTTTAGTAACCCCTTTTAGAAAAATGTAATATGGTTCCAGCTAATAAGTTTTATGGTCTGTAATGTACTTTTGATAGCGTATTAAATCACTTATTCCCTAGGCACAAGGTCGCAGATTTGAATTCTGCTTCATGTTCTTGATTGCGGGACTCATGGACCATAGGGAGGAGCCGGTAAATGTATGCGTAGTTACTGAGTGGTATACACCTTTTTAGTTATGTAGAAATCCTCTGTCGCACCACTTCTCTTTTCTATATGCTGTAGAGCTAAGTTCTTTATCACTTCTTTGAAATATCTTCCGAATAAAATACCTGAGAGCATGATCGATTTAGATCATATGATTTTTCTTCAGTTAGTTATTTGAAAAAAATCGCAAATATATTTCCATGGATGTGGTTGCTAAGCTATTTATAATTAAAATGTTAAGGAACAGACAAGCGGTTTAATTAATGCACTAGAAAAATTCGATACATTATATGGAGTAACTTAAAGTTTACTTGACTACACAAAGATGAACTAAAAACTTTTCATACTGATTATGCTCCCAGTCAAACATTTGATTAATTCCGACAAGAAATGTTATGTTGTCGCAAAAATCTTCATGTTGACTGAGATATTGTAATTATATGTGAAAGCGTTCCAGGTAACTAGCTAAGTAGACTATAGTAAGCGCATTGTAATTGGATTGCTTTAAGTAATCAAAGTTGAGACAGACTAATTCAACTTATTGAAGTTTCTGTAGTTGTATAGTATCATAACTCTAACATAATGATTATTCAATTGCATCACTATTTGATTGATCTTATTCATTGATAATTTATCTAAAACTTGCTTGTTGTTACAGCATGGTTACTTTGGGATGAATTCCTCCTCCTCAAGTGAAGTGTAGTTTTGTCTACGTCTCTACTGGGTGTCATCACATCCGTATTGATAAGAACTCTAGGAATCTCCTTGCTGTTCAACTTTGAATCAATGTTTTCTTTTGACATTAAGTCTTCTAGTTTGCGTAGAATTTAAATTTTTATTAAGATAAATTATCACTGCTGAAGATAATGTTTCTGTTGTACATCTTGGTTTGATTCATCAGTCTCCTCTTTTGCTCACCATACTTTTTTTAATTTTCAATACAATTTTGCAGTCTACTCAACAACCTTGTATACATTTATGCAGTAGACAAATAAGCCATAAGTATTGTATGTGGGATGATGATACTTACTACGCAGCTACTCAAACCGTGCTAGGTGGAGCGTTTTTCGAACTCGTAACCCACTGGTTGAAAGTCAACTCCCTAAATCATGGACTCATAACTCCATAACAGTTTTGCAGTATATGTAGTAGTGTAGTGGGTGCTACTCATAAGAATGGTTATAAGTAATGTATGTTGAGAGGGCGGCAGAAATCATAGACAATTACAAGCGATGAGTAATTATTCTCCCCAGAGGAACGCAAGGGACAATCTGAGAGTATTAAGAGCAAGTCGAGATAGAAGCAGAAGAGAAAATGAAACACATTGTTCAAATGACCATTTTAATGGAAAGTGCACGATATTTCATCACTACTGTAAAAGATGTCATAATAAACCTTCTCTTCTGCGTCTCAGTCTTGTCGTTTCTTAAAGTAGTATGCATTTAGCATACTGACTTTAATTCTAGTCGTCGTATACATTGGAGCCTTATTTTCGATACAAGCCTATTGTTTTTAAATGTAAACACTAACTTTCTCATATTCAAGTAGTCAATTTTTCAATCAGAGAAATTTTCATTCTATTCTTAGATTACTATTTATGATTTAATCGGTGTAATATGTCATTACGGTGGTTGTGGGGGCGGTCACTACACAACATGTGCATATAACTCATCTACTGAAAATTGGTACGAATTCAATGATGAACACGTTCGAAAATTAGATGCTGAACAAATAGAAACGCTGAAAAGTTCAGCTTATGTCCTATTCTATCGGTGAGATTGAAGTGTTTTTTTTTCTTTGAGAAAGTTTTGTAAGTTAGTCGAATAAAATATTCACAAATCTAGTAAATTATATCTTCATATAAGTATTGTCTGTTTTATTTTTCGCTTTCCACCCTATATGTATTCACAATTATAGTTGAACTAAGTTTCTGCAACGTACTCACTCACGAAATGTGGTCATGATGTTAGTTATCATATTAATAGATTTATAAAGAAAGTGTCAAGACGTGAATTTCTCATCCCCATTATTTTGTTACTAATATATTACACGTCTTCTCATGTCTTAATAGTTCTCTATCTACATTCTAGATATGCTGTTTTTAACAGACGGCAAATAGATTGATAAAGGTAAGTAGGATCTTCAAGGATGTATCTGGACTGTTGTAATCGATTTGAAGTTTTATTTCTAGTGTATCGCAAATCTATCCGGCAAGTGTACAGTCCTTCATATGATTCACACTAGTTGTCAGTAGTCCAATCAATCAATTCATTCGACTTTTTTAATTGCGGTTGTAGTACGTATTATTTGTCAGGTGTATAACGTATGCTAGCGCATAAAAAGCAAACTTTCTTTATCTGGGATTAGGTTTTTTTTTTATATACACTCATAACCCTCAGGTGTTTCTATACTAAGTACATGCTCTATTTAGGCAACATTGGTAGACAGACATTTGATTCTTCGCCTTAAAGGGTTCAGTAACAGTATGAATTGCGACCTCATTCTTTTTTTCTTGCTGGTTCATTATTACGACGCCTATTTCTGTCTTTATTTTCTTATCTTAGGAAACGTGATGCACATTTGGAACCGCTTCGTCAATCATGGCAGGTATGTGGAAACACAAGATGTTTTACATATATATATATATACTCTTTCGTGTAGTAAGAATTTGCTTTTCTGTAACCAAATTTTTCCGCGAAGTTCATATACACATACTTCATGTGAGAGTGGTTATTGTCAACATTTCAGTACCTAGGACGACATTGTTATGCAGTTTTCGTTTGTATTTTTTCACTCTATGCTTTCGATGTAGAACCAGTAAACTGATTTAAGCCACTCCTCGGTTATAAAAGATGGAGTAACACACTTTTGACAAGCTCCCTAGGAAGCATTACTTCCATGGAGTTCGCAGTCGCACCTTAAAAATGGGTATCACCAAGTAACTAACCTAGTACACAATTTCTTACAATCGTCTCTCTCCACGTAATGTGACATGAACCCAATTAGTTTGATGACATTATCATTACAAACTTAGTTCTCAAAATTTAATCAACAGTTAGAAACAGGTTAAACGACAAGTTATTTATTGAGATTCGTGGAGATGGGACCGTTAGGCAGTAATGCCAGGGCTCATACTGATGTCTACTCAACTTGACTTGAGACGCCTGATCTGGTTACACTGACGAAAAGAATGCGATTCTCGACAACTCAGTCGGCTAGCTAACACGTAGATAAAAACAACACTAGGTTGAAGAAGTTTACTTCAACTGGAAAGAGAATGTTCATACGTGTACAGCTCGTTGGTTTACGTACAATAGAAATGCTCTTGAACCAGAATAATAAATTGGCATGTTGAAAGCGAAAGAACAACCAATGAGAAATTAGCGTAATTGATAGCGGTGAAAACAAGTGATGCACGCGAGACGAAAAGTTATGCGAAAACGATAAGTTTACATTCCTAACGGGTAATCTTAACAGATATCATCATTGCTCTCATTTTAGTTTATCTAACATCTCCGATGCCATTACCTACTTAATTTAGTGCACAAGTGCTTTTTCGCAGTTTTTGTAGTGTGGACATTTTTTTATTTTTTTAAAGCCATCTAAAAAAATAAAACTTGTTCAGATTCAAACACTAAATTTTGGCATGCCAAAAAAATGTCAAGATTGACACTGCATAGCGTTAATTAACTAGTTCATTGTAGAGAGAATAACCAAGCAAAAGCGAGAAAGGTAAACTGATGCCAGCCCTTCTCTAAGCTATGAACCTACTTTTACTTTACGAAGCGTTTAAAATACGAATTGGTATCCTGAAGTTCAGTACCAATATTGAATACTAAAATAATACTGACTACTTTCATAGTAGTAGCTCAGTTGGTAGAGCACTGGGCTGGTAACCCGGTGGTCTCTGGTCGCCGTGGTCCAAATTTGCATTCCACCTTCAATCACCACCCGGTATAAATACTTTCATATTGTTACAAAAGGCGTTGTTTATGCGATCGTTTTGTTTTAAGCAACATTTCCAATCAATAAAAAATTCCATTTGACAAAGATTATAGTTTTTTTTACTCTAAGGAATTGACTATTTCTGCTTATCCTCTAAATTCATTGAGTTTTATTTGTCGGAATGTTTTAAACTTCTAGTGCTTTATTTGTAGGAGTTGTATAATCTTCATTCTTGGGACAGAACTAGTCCATTCTACACCAATTTAGTTTTTCAACATTCTCAACTATATTCAGTGTTTCGGTGTGTCGAGCGTAGTTATTCACATTGTTTTTAACGTTTTTGATTTTTATTTATTATCATGCACAACAGGCCTTTCGATTTTACTCCATTTGTGACTGTCGAATCTTTTATTTCTAATATTTCCTTACCTAACTTCCGTTCGTAGTGAAAATCCTACTAAAAGTTAAATTTCTTAGATATGAAATATTGTTGCCCAATGTACTACTCTACAACTCGGTCAAAGCTAAAGTTTTCTGCAAATTATTGTGATATATTCGTGCCTCACTAGTTTGTTAGTATGTGCAATTCCAAAGTAATTTCGTCCTAATAGGTTTTGAATCAGGTTTATACATGTGCTTGGTTGTGGCTAACAAAGGAATCCAGGATGCGTGTTCCGTCCCACTTGGGATTCGTCAGCTGGATATACCTGTACTCAGTGAGTGTTGTTTTTCCCACTGAGACTCGAACCTCGTATCCATCGCTTCAAACGCCACAACTTTGTCCTGTGGCCTACTGGATAGCGCAATGGCGTTTGAAGCGATGGATACGAGGTTCGAGTCTCAGTGGGGACAACATCCCTCACTGAGTACAGGTACATCCAGATGACGAGTCCCAAGTAGGACGGAACACGCATCCTGGATTCCTTTGTTAGCCACAATCAAGCACACTACCGTGATTCATATTCAGGCAATATCAAGGCAACCGCATGGGGGCCCATACGCCAATAGAGGTCGGACAGTCCGACCCAGTAAAACAACGGAGAATTACAGACACATCAATAAACAGGTTTGTTTAAATTAGGTTAATCTTTCGTGATTGATATTTACCCATTTCGTATTAAAAACAGATCCATGATTAATGCTGAAATCTGTCTTTGTCGGTGTTTGTCGGTTCATAACTGTTTTTGGTTGATAGGGAAGACAATGCCAAACAATTTTACTGTAAAATATTTTACAGACTAGCACATTTTGATGCATTTTTAACATTTGTACATAGTTAACTCCAGCTGGTAAAATGTGTTACGTGAGCAGACCTTGGATTATTCGATTTTGGACATGGGCGGAACCGGGTCCGATGACATCAGAATTCCTATGTGAACACAGTTATTTCCAACCGGAGCTATGGGAAATGCGCAACTCATTAACATTATCTATTCCAGAAAGTGTTTGGTCCAATCTTCATGATGTGTAAGTAAATTCTGTAAAACATTTCATGTAAACATGATGTTTAATTTGTTTTTTGCAGCCCGAATTGTAACCGATGTATAATTTACTTTTCTCTTCTTGGGAAAGTTACATATTTTGGATTGTCTTAGCTTAGTGGTTTTGGTTTCTAACCTTTTTGTTTGTGTTTGACTTTAGTTTTTCCTACTGAGGTTTAAACAGCCAGGTGATGTAATTGTTTCTCACACGGAGTGTGACTTGACTGATTATCGGTTTACTTATCCGCAGGTGATTACTCTTATAGACATTCATTAGTAGCAGCTGTGTAACAACTACGGACACTGCACCTTTCAGTACTATATGAAATACCTCACAGCGAGAGCTGAAGGCAAATAATTCAAACTTTTGTTAGAAAGAATTATATAGTTTCAGTCATAAGCAACTCCCCCTACGCCATATAGACTAGTATATAATGGATAAAATAGTCTTTACTGGATTTTAGTAATTTCTATTCCATTCGTAGACAATTTTTTCTTCCATATAACCATTGAGACTGTCTCAAGTCGGTCGTAAGTTTTTGTTTACTATTCGTAACTTTCAATTACATTGTCCGCCTCGTAATACTACCTTTCCTTGTGACCACAAACTTAATGAAAAAAAATTCAACTAAGTGACCCTTAATTGGTTTTTGAGCTGCACAATATATGCTAGGGTTTATGATACTGGCTAGTCATCCAGGTCGAGGTAGATACTGATTAGTATCAGGTGTAAATTCACTCCTTTTGGAAGAGTACTTTCTGTATGTCTTTTTTTATTTTCTAAACTGTTGATGCGGCAGGAATGTCGTAAATAAGTTTTATTGACTGTCGATATTTTTAAGTTACTATTTGATCGTATCTGTGTTACGAAAGATGTTTATTATCACATGTAGCTTTCATTTATCACTCCATACTTGTGATATCTGTGAAGGATCATGTGCTTTTTATTCCGCTTATGTATTTAGTGTACGTTGTATTATTGTATATGTGTGAAAACCTCATGCCAATTGACTAAATCAATTAATGGGAACCTTAACTGAAATGGTTTAAAACAGATACCATTTGAGTTGGTTCATCTAAGCCATTTTCACCCTGCATTTCAATAAGACATTATTCAGTTAGTTAGTTAGTCAATCGTCATCAACATGGCAATAAAAATTACTGCGTTATAACCCAAGCTACCATACCTCACATCATCTCTTCGAGGTACAAACAGAACAAGAAATGAAAAACTCAGAGAAATAGTATGACCATAATCGTAGAAAGCCGCAAGGTGTATAGTAGAAATTATTAGAGTCAATAATGAAATGTCATATTACGATGAAGATGAAGACGTGGATGCGTTTGTTCTCCAGCTCGATCAAGTTCTGTCACACTCTTCAATAATCCATTCCAGTTGTCTTGTAGATGCCAACGTGGAAATGTGTATTTCCGTATTCAATTTAGAGCCATAAACGGAAACCTAACGAACTGATATCACGTTTCACTGCGAACATACTTAACTCTTTCCAGTTTAACCCTTCTTCACCTAATATAGTGCAACAAGGTAGACAATGGTTCCGCCTATATAGAACACATCTCAGTTACCTAGTTCTACGATAATTGCCAACCTTATGGAAGTCGCATTCTCTGATCGTTTACAGCCCTTTTTAATGCTAACCGAACTGGATCTCAGTGGTGGAAATGTGTTCACTCATTTTCTTGGAAGTGGTATTATCATGCTGTACATTCTGTTTCCTCTCTGTTCAATATCTGTTCACTGTTTTTGTGAATTTCTTTCCAAAAAATTCGAAACCAAAGCGATTCTTCAACAATAAACCAAACACTCAAGTTACGCGTAAACTCCAGAACACACGTTTGTTTAAAATGTGAATAAACAATGGTGAATAATGAATTAAAAACGTCGAATCGTCAGATATCTGTATGTTTGTCGCTGTCAGAACAGCTTATAGAGAGTGCGTCAATAGTACAACACCAAGGCTGCGTCCAAATCAAACCAAAAGGGAGTATAAAGGACCCACGATGAAGTAGATGCAAAACTTTGTAGGTGAGCCATCCAACTTATCAATCTATATCTTTGGCATTCTCATACATTCTACAACCGTGGAGGTTTTACTATCGGGACCCAACGTGTAATGGTTAATCGGGTGGTTTAAGCCGACGCTCTCGATCTACTCAACCTGGGTTCCATACTCATTGATGCTGTTATATTCTAAATAGGTTTCACCTGTTGACTATTACTTTCCCTTAATGCTTCTTGACCTGTTTCTCTGCAACTCAGTTTTCTTATTTGAGCCTCTGACTCTTCTAATTCAGTATCTGTAGTGGAAAAACTATAAGAACGGAAGGTTTTCCCAGGCTCTTCCGTTTCTAAGGGCCTGGCCATTTTGAACTTGGGGTTGGATGAATAAATATCAGAATTAGAAACAGGTAAAGTAAAAGTGTCTACTTGCTTAAAAGACGTTTCCTTCGTAGATGGTGTGGAAGGTTCCACTATTTCCTAAGTGTGTCAACAGTAAAACACCAGGGCTGTATCTAAAGCAACCCAAAAGGGAATATAAAGGACTTGCGTATGTTCCCACGATGAAATAAAGATATGAGACTCAAAAATGTTCAAGGTAACACAGAATGTCAGGGAGCAACGAAAGGGTTCCCAACACTGTCATGAACTAGAAAAGATACTTAAATCTACACATGTTAAATGATGAACAAGATTCGATTCAGTAGTTTGAACAGAGTAGTTGGGCATGAAGTAACATTAAAGGAAAACATTAATTATGCTACTCTAATAATAAGTAGTATGAAACTAATGATATAAAAATGGGATACAAAGTTAACATTGTATGGGGTAAACAAGATCAAGGTAGGATAGTATTGACAGTTGTTTATTTTACCATAATTTGCTGCTACAGTATGGACTCATACATTTTTGTGTGAAGTATGGTGCTCTGTCTATTTGTTTCTCTTCATCTTTTTGTTACGTTTTGTTCTTTTCCTTTACTGTCTTTGCAGTTAAGTCTGGCTGGTTTAACGCATGCACCACCAAATACCGAGTTTAGTGTTGTTCATTTCAGTCAATCTAGTTGGTTTAGGAATAAATGTTATGATACACTTAGTATCGATTACGTTGATAATTTTCCCCCTTACTCATAGCACACTAACATTTTATTAAAGTGCCTTTCATTATGTTTATTTATATTCGCCTCCAAATCAAGGTTCGGTGGTCATGGAATCATCCGTGAATTGATCCCCTGTACTGACTGCTGTGACGCAATATCCAGAAGACAAAAATATGAGCTGTCAGAAATCATGAAAGTAAGAGAAATACTATGGTTTGTAATTTCGTTGTTTTTGTAGTAAGAAAGCAAAAAGCAGCGGGCGAAACCTAGCACGCAAGTACATTGGTTCAGGTTGCCAGACTTCACATTAGCATGGAAAGAACAAGTGGATAGAAAAGGACTTATATCAAGCTAGATAGATGTGTATAGGATTTGAGGGAATTTAAAAATTAAGGTTAGTTAAGACTTTGAGCTTTGGAAGACGTCAAATAGTGAATACACCAGGACCACTGTGACTGATTTTCAGCCATTTTACCTAGAGTCCTCAACCACTGATTCTTATCGTCTTGGGGACCTCAACCAAGCAGTCTACATCCACCCACACGTCCCTACGTGACTCAGACCAACGGTTAGGGACTTCATCAATTGGTGCCGTATTTTAGTCTCGTCACTCTTAATCCTCTTCCTACCTAATCCAACTTTCCCTAACATGGCACATCGTTGTAGGTGGTGGCTTGGCGTGCATAACATATATCTAAGCTTTTTCAGTCGACTAAAGTTCACAACCTCATCAACTGACTTGCCTTCCTTTACTATTACCCTTCGCTTGAGCTCTACATTGCTCACATGGTGATTCCACAATGCGGGATAAATGCTACGAATAAACCCGTGGTCAAAAACTTGCATCTGTTTCATAACAGCCATGTCTCACAGCCGTATGACAGAACAAAATGAACTTTAGCGCAGTATACTTATCATTTATTGCGTAGTCGAACATCTTGTCGATCGGCCCCAGAGATGTTACATTTCGGCAAACGCCAAACGACCCTTCTACATTCCAGCTGAGATTTCGTCAGGAATCAGTCTATTCAACTTACTTAGGTTTAATACAATCACGAAAAACTCTGCCATCGACATTGATCATTTTGTATGGTCGAATAATGTTTAGTGCTAGTACGTTGTCCTTTGAGGCTGTTGCAATCAAACCATCTACTAGTTTTTCTTGGGTTGCCTGTGCTTTAAGCGCATGAAGTCAACCACTCGATTCTTTGAAAGCTTGCATCACTCAATAACAAGGCGACTAGCTTTATCTTTGATAACACATTTTTTCTTAATTGGAGTCATTTCTGTAGAAGCATTTGTTATAGCCTTTTTCATCCTACTTCAGTAGACATGCGAAATAACAGCTTCAGTCCCATTCGGGGAAGTATCTAAAATCAGCATACCAGTATCGTATAAATGCGAAGTATGAGTGTACTTTATTTCGAAGAAAAACATGATCGTTTGATCATTCCCCTGGAACTTTTTTACCAGCGGCCCATTGAATGGTGTTTGAATACTGTATAGTGAAAGTGAAGCTATAGATTAACAATCAACTAACCTTATACAGGAGTTGTATACTTTCACTGTCAGGTATTTGCCGTACACTCCAAAAGTTATTTTGGTTAATAAGAATCCTGGTCAAAGTTCGACCGGATAGTTTCACAAAGATTGGGCGCCGAGTAAAAAGTTGACATTAGATATAAGTTATATTTGGAAAAATCTCAACGTAGACGGTAATGTTGTTTTGGTTTGGTTGACAACTAGGATGCTTCAGAAATAAATCTTAAATACTTTACTAACTATAAAAAGAACTAAGATTTCTGTAGACACTTACAACATGTAAAGTTTTGCGTACGCTGGAGGATGTCGTTTGTACTGCTATGGAGATTTGAAGTGTGTTGGTGATAATGACGATACTCTAGAGATATATTAAGAACGTGAACTTACCCAACGATATAATAGTTATTAACTGTTGAAAAACTATTTGAATCTTTATAACGAAAGGCATGTTATTATATTGTAGCAAGCTGTTATTTGTTAATGGTCAGCAGTTTTTAGTATTACAAAAGAATTTTCAGGTGTATTGTAATTCAGTCAATTTTTGTAAAGCTGAGATTAACAAACAGAAAGTCCTTTGGTGATAATGAATTATAGCGCTGTTCAAAGGCAGTAATCGATTCGGTTGACTAAGCAGCACAGAGAAAAACGGTAGGCTTATTTGAACACTGTGGTAGACGAAATTCAAACAGGATATCACATCTTTGTAGTAATACCTTTCCTAAATGATTAATCTCTACTTACACTGAAAGTAACGAAATGTTAGCCGGCAGTCTCTTTTTGTCCGAAATTGCTTGGAGATGGAGAACAGCTTTGAAAGTAAATTTCTTAGAAGTATACCCACACATTCTTGGATTATATTTCCAGATTGATCTCGTAGATTTGTGGAAGATTGTAAACGGTCGCACATGGAATTAGGTGGGATATCAGCAGAACAAAGTAATTCAAGGTGATGGAAACTCAGAGGGTTAACATGACAACTGCCATGTTTGTTGATACTTAAAGAGGACATCCAATAAACAAGTTGCAAGCTCTAACTTGACTTCACCAAGAAACGGTACATAAGCGGGTGTTCTTCCTCTTGTTGTTGTCATCGATATCCTTGGAAATAAGTTTCATGATAAGTAAGCCACTCAATATTGCAGCATAATCACTTAAAGGTTGGCGTTATTTCTGATGAGTAAAAAGTAACACGTGATGCAATGAATTTTCGCTAACTACGATTTTTATCTACTGATAGATAGAGACTTAGATTTTACTGATCGTTTCAAAATGTGGCTTGTTTCGTGATCCAGGCATGCGCAAATTAGTTCTTCGCTGTTGTTAGTTGTTCACTAGAGCTATAAGTGTGACACCGATGTTTCAAAATATAGACATTTATAGTGCTATTTGACTCAGTGTCAAGATGATGATAGTGAATTCCTCGTGTTCTTTGGAGTAATACCACTTGGAACCGAAATGAGAATTTAGAAATGGTGAGGCGAATATGTAGATCAAAATGAAATACACACCTTAGACTCTGGAAGAATTGCATCAATTGATGACACCGTGTAGCACATAGAATGATGTCGTGCTACAGAGTAATTAATTGCTGAAGTCTCTTTGCAATGTCCCTTATTGTAAGCCTAAAATCTTACTAGAAATAATTAGGTATGCTAGTTCTCTTGTGTTAAGGATTTTCGCAAATTGAAGGCTACAACTGAAAGGTAGCATCGGTCACGTAGAAGGAATTTCAACTTAAAACTTTCACATTCTTGGTTAACTGTGCACACGCGGGTAGGTCAGTTTTCATTCTGATTTACCCACGAGCATCATCTGTTCTCCATATCTTTAGAAGTGCTTTCGTTACCTTATGAAGTATTCATTATCATGAAGGTATATGTAAGGTAGTATGGCGGTTTGTGCGATTCATCAGGATCAACCTTTCACAGTGGTTGACTTGCCCCATGTTCATTGTCTTGTTTGACAAGGTTGACCTTAAACGTGTTTTTTTTTTAACTGATGGGTCATTGATTGTACAACAGTAGTGTGTTTAAAGTGGGGTGGTCTGAAAATGAACAAAATAGAGACGCAGCAGCACATATTCATATGAACTTGTTTATAGACGCACAGAATCAAACAGTAAGGAATAATCAAAAATGGATATTAGATATTCATTTTGATACACCACTCCAACCATTAACAAACTGGAAGGCAAGAAATTTCAACTAATTAGAGTATTTCACACTCGCATCGATCAGTTACTAGAGTAAATTTCGTGTGTATTTGTAGGTTTCCACAGTTATGTTTTAGATGGACCACCATTTACAATGAGATTCAAGTTCGTGATTCTTCGTATGTTTTCTAAGTTGTAAAATATTATCAGCAAAAATTTCAGGACTTGAAATGGTTCAATGCTAAGTTTTTGTAAAATGGTAATAATTTTCAACATGCTCAATACTCACTTAATGTTTTAGTTGTACATAGGTTTTGTTATTCAACTTCAAGTAATGTCAAGCAGCATATTTCATATTTTTTGAATTGTTATTGTAGGTTAGTTCATCTGTCACTCCATCACCTACATCTTATGCAATCAGTAAGAAATGGTTGGATGTTTGGCTGCGATTTGTTAGAGGGAAAGCGTGGGGTGAGTTAGAATGATGAAGTAAATCTAAGGCGTGTGTATATACATATTTTGTTCCTTGAACTAACTAGTATCTAGTTGAATTTTGAATAGTAGCGAACAGTAAGAAGCGGATAATCTCAGCAGTTTCGCTTTTTACCAGGGAATTTTTCATTCTTCATAGCTACGTTTTGTGTTGTAATCTTCACTAATCATGCCATATACTTGTTTAGGACTTCTCAAAATCTGTATTTAATAACCGCTCGTGGAAATTGTGTTTTTATAATTATACTACTAGTAAGTAGTCTAAAACTTTTCCGAATCTCAGCCGTTACTATTTTTTGATAACGCTTCACTTTTCATTAAAATTACGGCTAGCTAGTCACTCCTTTTATCTGCCATTCATAGGCTGTCACAAGAGATGTTTTTGACCCGAAAAGTCAGTGGATAGATTGATCCTATCACGTTAATTTGGGAAGTCTGAACGACTCTTGATAAATCACTCACATTGCTTTTAAATCTTTTTATATGGCATTTAGTCATAATAATAATAATAATAATAATAATAATAATAATAATAATAATAATAATAATAATATATTTGCTTTATTCCGAACCATAATTATGTTCACAATGCAGAAATATATGCATGTGTTATTGTATCAGTCTGCCCGCTGTACAACATTTCTAAAACATTAACAATGGTGCTGTTTAGCAGTACACAAAGACTAACATAGTCATTGAAATGTTTAATGTCTTGAGCGTCATGATAGCTGTTCGTTATTATAAAATTGATTGGTAAGACTATTTCTTACATAGTTTCCTTCGCACAATACACAATGTAAATAAGGTATGACTGAATTTTCGTATATGGTTGTGCGTGTATTTAGTTAAACATTTGTTTGTTGTCTTCCCAGAGGTTAGACATCTAGAGAGGTGTTGATACAGAGGATGCTTTTCATGAGATTATATTTTTTTAAGCCAACTTTCTATAACAGTTCAGATGCCTTTCCACGATCACATTTGTCAGCACTGTTAATGGTATACCACTTGCTCTGCTAACCACCTTCAAAATCCTACACAATACAGTCGTTTTTTTCTGGAGTCCAGAAAAGAATAAAATGGAACAATAAGTAAGTATAGACAAAACACAGGGATTAATGAAACGTCAAAGTAAAGGCTGAGTTACTCCAGACAGTCTGAGTCCCCTTATGTAAAAAGTCAAGCGACGGATTTTCGTTGAAATCAGTAAGATATGAGGGGATAGAGGAAGATTAAAAAGAAGAGCGTAAACCGAGATCGATCTTGCTTGGTACACCATCTACAACAGATCCATCCATAAGACGAGAGTCATGGGACTGAAGCAATTTACATAGGTCTTGTTCACACCCTAAGCTAAAATTAACCATATGACATTCGGAAGGATTGGATTGTTCTTCCAAGAAAGAAAAACGGTCTGACATCTAGACTCAACTGTAGGTTGTTTTATTTCTTTCGTTTACAAATAAAATTTACTCACAAGATTTTATGCGCACAACTTGTCAATAGGTTTGTCTGTTTTTGTTGTCAACTTGTTTCGGTTCATTGATGTAAACGTACGACTTTCAGTCAGCCCCACTTACTGGGGTCTGCGCAACCACGCACTTTCACTAGCCGTCGCTCAATAGATGCGACTCATTGCTTACACTGCATGGTGAATGTGTTCACGTGCCTGTTGAATGCATTTCGATTTATTACTATTGTCGAGATAAGTCTTATTATCGTTTATGAGATAATTCCCCTAAACTTGAACAGTTTCAATTCTGACGTAGCGTTCATAGTATTCATTGATGTATTTTCAATGTCTCTTTTTGATACTACTTTCCAGAGGCACCGGGTCCTATAGACAATGCAGATATCCTACCGTGCAATGCACCACTCCATCGTTATCGTAACAGTGGATCATTTAATCATTCTTCTTCACTTTCACCAACTCCACTAGGTAATTATGAATGTCTATCAGCAGAAGTTTGGAATCTGCTATATAATATATATGGTGGAGGTCCTGCTGTACCTGTACGCGTGCCTTCGTATTTATCAGTCAGTAATGTAGATGAAAATCTAGTGGATTCCTCCAATCATAGTTCCTCAGATCAATTATCTCAGAAAAGTTTATCCACTTCTCCTGAATCTCAGAATTCTATACAAAACTATAGTAAGGTAAGACGAGTTGATATGCAATAAATCAACAAGTTTGATTATCTTCAAAGTTGATTATTGAACTTCGATTGGAGTGGTAATTCTTAAGCCTTTTGTTTAGTTTGTTTCACTATATATCTGAAAACAGTTCAAGAATATAAGTGGTAACATTTGAACCTGATACTATGTAGTGATGCGTACTTTCGAATTGCTGTATATTCTAACATCTTTCCTATTGAATTATGCGCAGTAAAACCTTGGTTTGCATAAAGTAGTCTATGCCGTATGGATGATTATAAGCAGTTGATAGAAAGTTGTCGCGTTTGCACCGTAGCCTACAAATTGCTACCGATTATATGCAAAGATTTAAAAAATAGTACAATAAAGTATAGATCCTCTTATCTATTGTTGGTAGACGTCAAAAACGTATTGAGTGGTTGAGGTGTTTGCTAGATTGCTAAACTAGATTGGATATTTTTCGAACCGTTCTCATTCTTGTATACTTTGATGTGGCTTAGTTTAGGTAGATAACTATAAACCAGTGAGTCACGGGTTCGAAACCCTCTCCACTACCCACGGTTTGGGCACCCAGGTAATATCACTAGCCCTCACACAACAGGTGTAGCTCGTTGTCCACTGCACGAATGTGCACAAGGTTGTCGAGTGCGTTTTGCTTCGACTTACCAGTTTTCATCCTTGAATCACTCTTTTTAAGGTACTTGACATAAATATGGTGATGCGAACTTTTCAAGTGATTTCAAACACTCTAACATGAAGTAAAAATGAAAATGCCACCAGTAAATAGGTCCTGAATCTTGATCTAAATCCCAACTGACCTTATGCTTACTTTTCATTGCGTTAGCACGTTGTTAATAAGATAACTGAATAACTGGGCAATGAGATAGGCCTATCGTGTCTCGGTTGATAATTCTACCCAAACTTCGATACATGAAACTGAATTGAAACCCATTATCTACTAGTTGAAAGTCGAATTCTGGAAGCAGTGTTTATAACGTTACCTGTTTGAGTGGTATCATTTTATCGGTGTGTTAACCGTTTTAGAATTTTGTTCCCTGAGTTGTCGAATACTATTTGAAAGAAACCCATTTAACCAGTCGACCCTTCTTTGCAGTGGTCCACTTACTGATTGTTTTCCAACTGAATCTCAATGCTGTAAGAGTTTTTAGTGTTAGGAAAGTAAATTGCAAATCGGCATTCATGCACAGCCTTGGGGCATACAAGAATTTGGTGAGTGAGACAGTACTTCGTACTTTCAAACTTGAGCAAATATGAATTATTCAGATCTATGCTTTATAGTTCGTGATGTTTTTTAAAGGTGATTGATTTGATTCACATGTATAAATTGTCTATGTTTCCTTTGATATAACTTCTCAGTTAATAACATTTATTCGTTCACCTGTTGTTACTTTTCGTCTCTCTGAATTTTCATTTAAGGAGTTTCCTGTTTTCACCAATGGTACAATTCATGAAGATACTTCTGGCGGTTCTGGTTGGTCAGAGGACAAGTCAAATTCCAATAACTGGCAACTGATGGATAACATTACCTGGGCGACAAACTTGCCTATGGATCCTATCCTACTTAATGGTAGTGATGATACTCATCTTGAAGTTTCTGATCGAGGTGATGGTGGCAATGAGTTATCTGACAAAGAAACACAGCCGTCTGTTGATAATGATAATTCCACTGAAGCGAAACAATTAAACGGGATTCATTATATTGTAAATACATCAGAAATATCAACTAGCACACTACATAACGGCAACTGTTCTATCAATGATAAACTGGAACCTGAAGTTATCAAACCATCTGGAGATTTCGGTGATTATGATCCATTACAATTATTGATTCATAAAAAGGCGGATGTAGTCAAATCGTACAAACGGGGTTCGAACAAACGTCGTCGATTAACACCTACAAAATAATTGTAATTTTCTTGATTTTTATTTGTTTGTCACCTTATTTTTTTGTTATATTCATAAAGCTGTGATTTTGTTTCTCTACTCTTCAGTTCGAAGTAGTAATAATAATAATAATAACTACACGTTTATGCCGATGGGGTGAAGTGACAACCATTTTCAGGTTGTACTTTTCATAATGATTTCGAGTTTTATCTACTTACCTTTAATTTTTCTACCTTTAATGATTGATTCTTTATTGTCTTTCAACTTCTTAGTTGAAATATCACCCCACCCCTCTCCGCCTGGCACTCAGATAGTCAACAGTTGGTTTTCAGTAGAAATTATGCAACATTTATAGTGTTGCATAACTAGTTACTTGGGATAAGAAGTTTCCTTTTTTTATGATAGAAAAAAGCATTTCAGTCAGATTGTAATCTAAGTGTATGTTGATCAAAGCATATCTTCTTTCTTTTCTGTATAGTTTTTCCTTTTCATTCATTTATTTAGTCGAGTTATGACTACAAAGAACGTGCTAACGGCAGTTCTTCCTTAGACAATGTCGATGTATAGACCTATTCCTGTTACATTGTTGTTTTTTTTTACCACTTTAAGGAAATTTGCTCCATAACAATAATAATAAATAATTTTAATGATAATTAATTTTTAATATCAATGCTATTCAGCAGCAATACACGAACAAGCATACACGTACATTGTCATTTATTACAACAATATGCTGTCCTGTTTTATGTATAAATTGAGCTAAAGTATGTTCATATTGTTTCATTTATATTTTATAACCTGTATATTGTATTTATTTATTGTATATCCAAATAACTGTAATTTGTTGTAGGAACCGATAAGTGTGTACACTCTTATCATCTTTTTTTCCCTACATCTTTCTCGTATATTTGTATATCGAGCGGTCGAGGGAAAGCGTAGTGTTTTATTTTGTTATGATCACTTGTTTGCTGTTCGCTGCCGCCTCTTCTTACTGAGGTGTTCTTTGCTCGTGTTATTTTTATGAGTTCCTACAATCCATCCATTTTTCTTTTCTGACTCGACAAAGTGAATATGTTCCTTACCTAAAAAGACCTACTTCAGTAGGTATGGTTTATTTTTGTCGCTAAACTGTCAGTTTATCAACAGATGTTGTGTTTATTCTCATTGTATTGCATACTTATGAGTGTGTTTAAAGAAATAATACTGATAAGAAATCTGTATTTCGAGACTGTCAGGATTATACTTGAAGAAGAGTTCTTGTGGTTTTTGTTGTTTCTGTAAAATAAAGTTGATTCACACTGTTTTCTTTAATTTTAGGGTTTCTTTGTATTTCAGTTGTTTTTATGCCAAAGCTTCACTAGTTTACTTTGATGCTATTTTCGGTGAGACATTACTGCTATATTTTATTACCAGTTGAATACACTTGATTTGCTTCGCCTGTAAACTATCTCACAGTAGGACAGCAAACTCATAATATGTGCAAACACCATTCTAAAGGGTTAAGATTCACTGAGGAACTGTAGAAAGTAGATGAAATATACCTGCGCAAAGTGTTTTTAAGCCGAGAATTGTTCCCCCAACTTTATTGAAGAATATTTATTGACAGGACAAAGAACAGCACAATTTCCTAAACTCAATAAGCACACCGCTCTACCCTACATCAAGTGTTTCTGTGCAACTGTCAACCCATTGCTTGTTGTTTCGGAGAATGAAGTGGGATATAAACCAACCAAATGACTAGAAAGTATGTTGTGTATGTTAAGCAATTCGTTGTCTAGGGAAGGCGGAGCAAAAAGTCTTCACATCACTACATCCGATTGATGTCAGTCCATGAGGAATACCAACTTGGAAAACCTACAAATCCCAAATTCAGTTGTACAGAGGATTGTTTTTATTGAATACATATGCAAGTTCATAGTACAGGGTATATTTTACTTATGTAATCCCAGCATGGTATATGAGGAAAGAATATTTTGTATTATTCCTCAACTTTTTGATCTTGTTAAGATTTCTTTTCAAGAGTAAACATTTGTTACTGAATTTTCAAGTTAAGAAAAGGTGACCCTTGTAATCGTCCAATTAGATCTCTATGTAGAAGGAAGATAATATAATGTAATATATATAATAAAAAATATTATTTAGGTGAGGGATTTAGAAAATCAACCAGAGAGGCTTATTCAAGTTGTGCAAATAAGGTAGAACAAAAATACGGTGGGGAGTGAAGTTTGACTGTGTAATGTACAGTGTAGGTGTAAGTCGTCAGAGGGGGTCAAAATAAATTGCCATTTTAGGAAGATGAAAACTTGAAATCTGTATCTCGTGAGAAAAATATTCAACAATGATATTGATAAAGGTACTAATGTTTAAGATAACAGTTGAAGTATGAATGATAACAAAGTACATTATATAATATTCGGTTCATGGTTCAGAGAATGTCCACTGTTCGCCATGATACATTAAAAAATATGTAGGTGTGAATAAACTTATAAATTGATGCAGTTACTATAACTGTGATTGGATTAAAAGATTTTTTGGCATCTCCGCTTTTGTTTCCAATCGTTTCATTTCACTAGTTGGTACTGTAGACCAGTCAAGGCATTTAAATTGAGTAATAGTTTTCCTCTGAAAACGTTGATTAAGCTTCTCTTCGAAGGATATATCTTCTTCGACTGGAAGTTTTTCAGATTTTGTCACTCTTTGATCAACCTTAGTTTTAATGGTTTTATTTATTTTCCTGTAAATGAAAAGTAGAAATAGTTAAACTCATTCTTCATAGCGGTTTTGCAGCATTTGCTTCCAAGAAAAATTTCCGAATATTTCGAACACAATTTGTATTGAAAATACATCAGTCTGAATAACTTGCTTGTCGTCGTGATGGATGGTCATATTAAGTTTTTGGTCAGTTTCAAATGAATAGATATACATGACTCCCATCTAAAGAATTCGGGATGCATATATGTAGGTATGCCTTATTCGCAAAGAGGAGGAGACTGCTTTAAAAAACTCTTAACAGTACGTTAAGTTACTTTTTTTTATGGAGAAATTGTTGTGGAATATTTTGAAATTTGAACTTCTGTCGTTATCTTCGTGTAATTAGCTTTCAATTGTAAGAACTAAAGTTTTAACCTGTGGTTAAAGTTCCAGATTCAGGAGAAGCTGTACAAACTCCATAGCCGTTAAAAAAGCTGCAGGCCGATAACCTTAAGTCTTTGTAGTTACTGTTGCAGGTAACTCAAGAAGACTTCAGCTTCCGGTGTGTGGATGGATTGAAAATACTAATTGCGGAGAAAATCCAACTATTATCTATCCTCCTTACCTTATTTTATTCGTTTGACTACACTAAATTTTCCTCAACTTTCTACCCTGAAACGCCCTATACATGAAAACATTGTTTTTTGTCTCCTAAGACATTTCACATTGGAGATTACAATATATCAACTAAATGTGGAATCGAACAATAGGCTATGCATGTATTTTGTATATTGAATATGGCATCTAGGTGTAGTTATTCATTCGACGTTGACTAGTAAGTTTTTCGAATTCACCTTATGAGCGTCTTGAAAGTCGAAGCTTTCTTTTCGTGTACATGTTGATGTAAGAATATCACTACGTTTTACAGTAGAAAGCGCACTTTGGATCATTAGTTTGTTTTCTGTCTAAGTGAATCTGTAGGAACTAGGAAAGATGTCGACAGGAAACGCTATTTACTTGTAGTAACCTCTTACGCACCCACTGATTACAGTCCAAACGATGTGAAGGATTGAGTGTTATCAAAAACTGTCAAATTTGTTACTAAACGTTTAAATATAGCGATACTGTGAATGAGTAACCCATTGACTGAAACCCTCATGTTTCAAGCAATGAATCCAGGTTCCAATCCCCATTGCAGTTACTTCAATCCCCTAGTGTTACAAGCTGTCATACGTGAAGTGTGATTCATAGCCTAGTAAGTATAGTTGTATGGGGTTGATTCACATTAAGTTTGAAACAAGCAGAAAGATGTCATGGGAGTATTAACAAAATCCCACGCTAACGAACCGAAAAAAATGATTTTCTCCCATATTTTTGTTCTTACGTTCACTTATTCTTGGCCAATACAAACTTAAAAGATAAAAGGACATCGTCTACCGGCATCAAGCCAGTGGTGGACACTGATAAATCATGTCTATAAGGCATCCATGGGTGTTATACCTTCGGAACTGACTTATCCTTCGTTATTGTAAGTAAACGTGCATGCACATGAATGGATACAAAAAACAAGCAGTAGTAAAGCCCATTTGTGCTTTCTAAGACTGAAAAACTGATGATGAGCGATTAACAGTCTTTATGATGTTTAAAGGACATACTTCTAGTGAATATAGTATGCAATAGTCTGGATCCTCATTTACTTTTAGAAACTACGGAAACAAGGATCATGCGAGGGAACTGTACTTTGCTTCAGCCAATACAGTACGGTGTAAATCTAATTATCCTCGAGGTTAATTCTTGCATTGCATTCACATTGGATCTCTAAGCAGTAATTTCATGTTGACATCAACTCACTGACAAATTATATTCTGTTTCTCTTTAAGTAATAATCAGAAAATATTCGTATTATGAGTTAATCTGATGAAAAGAAATAAAAACCGTAAAATACACTTCAAATTATTCGAAAAATGAATTTTTGATAATATACTCTAAAGACGAACTTTTGACTCATTTTCTTATTATCCTCCACATGATGATTCATCTTTGACTTAGCATGATTTGATTGACCTGACAGGATTTCATGTTTATTGAAAACAGTTATTGTTGGATGGGAAGACAACAGGCAAGATTTGAAATCAGGTTGTAAGACAACAGAGTTTCCAATCAGATTCAATTCTCGTAGAAAATGCATTCTAGACAGTTCTTTTTCAACCTCCTAAAACATTTAACAGGATTATTAATTGATCAGAAATGTTAAGAAGAGATGTAGACAAGATGAAAGTATGCTACACAAACATATGTACTTCAATGGTTTATATCTCATCTCCCAAAGAAGCTTTATGTAAGTAGTTACTTAACAGTTTCATCCTATAGCCCACTTTTAAACGACTTTATTTATATTCGTAGATCATCATCGTGTATCATTGCTTTCAAAGGTAATAACTGTTCAACTGTAAAGCATGTTTATTTATTTTCTAATCTAAATAACTTTTGAGTACTAATACTTCATTATATGTTACGGCTTTCTTAGTTGTACATGTTCACATGTGTTGTATATTCAGAGAAACCGGGTGCGATGTTGCCAGTATCTTATCTTGTATTCAGTTCAGGCGGTTGCTAATTGTTGCGAAAACAAGAGTGAAGCGGTTGGTGGTCATGGGGACGAGTCATCTCAAAAATGAACAAATGCATCTTCACAAATGCTTAACACGTAATTTATTGATGTGTGCTCCTAGTATCATAAATTCAAATGATCTATTGTTTATTCTTTTTGAAAATCTTGAATCCTTATGGCTCAGATACAGCAACAGATGGTAAATACATCTATAATTTACCATAAAGTAACATGATTCTTCGAATATTATACTTTTCTCTGCTCTGGAATAAATCATGATAGGCAGTTGCAAAGGTTGAAAATCACGTGCGAAGGCAATGACATTCTGCTCGCGCTGATCTTCAGTTCCCAGTTGGTTGTGTCCATCGTTTTCTGCACAAACGGAGCTACACTGAGCATATCGGTGTTGATGCTTCCAGTTTACCTACCCGGTGTCCTCGAATACCTGGGTGTATAAGTGCTAGAACTGGCTGGCAATGTCACTCGTTATGACAGAAAGACTTGTGTTATCCCTCGTCGCTTCCACCTGGCCATTCCTAACAATGAGGAGTTGAACAATCTTTAGAGAGGTGTCATCATCGACCAGGGTGGTATTCTACCTAACATTCATGGAGTGTTGCTGTCCAAAAAGACGGATAAGATGAAGTCCCAAGTCCATTGGCCGTGTTTGGCTTGAGAGCTAGAGAATCCTGGTGCATTTATGAAATACTTTTCTGCTTCTTTTTTAGTTTGACAAGCTGATTTTCCAGTCTCCAGCAATACTCCGTTTAACTTTCAACATTTCTGTTTTTATCCTCCTTAGTATCATATTTGATTTTCCAAATGCGCTTGTCCAATAGTAATAATCTTAATACAATCAATCAATCAATTTGTAATATTTTTATTAATGTTCTCTGCTGAAATCATTTAAAATATGCTATGGTACAAATTAAATGTTTGTTCGTGTGTAAAACTTTGTTTTGCTGAGCACAGTTTCTGTCAAGAGTGTTATAACAACTTCATACAATTTAGATGGTTACAAATGAAATTGTGTATAACTGCTATTGTGCAGGCAGGTATGATCACAGAATGACAGTGTGTTTCTGTCAGTCTTATGTTGATACTGACTGTCAAGGTCGGATTTCGGGTAATAGTTGAGGTTTCAGATATCCAACTTCACTTTCAATATTTGTTGACAGAAGTGAACAAGAAAGTTTATAGTCATGCCATTCTCGACGAACCATTTAGCTGATTTTATAAGTAACAACATATTTTTGCAGAAAATTTCGTGTTTTTTTGTTTGAATAATATGAAAATGCATTTCATCGTGGTTTTATTAGTTGGTTTCAAGATTGGTAAGCGAACCTTTGAAATCTAAAGATGTCATAAGTAATGGCCACTTTATTCAAGGCAAAACTTTTGATGCAGTTTGTAATTGTCAGCACTTAATATTGCACAGAGAATGTAACCCTTTATAATCTTCCAAATAGTATTACTTATAGCAATTTAAATTGTGTAAATAATAATACTAATGAGGAAAACTATACATGAGTGGTCGAGATGTTCACTGTTGCAAAGTTGATAAGTGAGTTCTGCTCTAACACTTATTTCCCCACATAATATGCGTGTTGGATAAGGCAAAGTTGAATTCCTGTATTCAGCCATACGGGTGTAGTATTGTCCTCCCTAAGGAAATACAAGGAGAAGATTGTGAATCAAGATGCTCAGTATCAGATAAAATGACTGTAGCTAGTTGCCTGTGTGAATTCTGATATCTGTCGACTACAGTGTCAATCTATTGAATGGGAGACACACCAGTGATCACACTGACAGCTTTCTAAGCCCTACACAATACAATATAGTCCTTTCTAACAGACGAGGAACGATTAAATAGGAACAATGAAGAAGAAGAGGTGAAATACAGTGATAAAACAATTTTGAAAGTGGGAACTGAGTCAATCCAGAGTCTTAGTTTTTTATATAACACACTAAATGAGAGGTTTCCTTTGAAGTCAGCAAGGTATGAGACGACCAACAAAGATCTGAAGAAAAGGTCAATTCGAGATAGGTGACATTCGATTTGCTTTCTGCAGTATAACCAACAATACAATAGAAGTCATGGGATCGAAGCAAATCACACAAGTTTTGTTTATGCTTGAGGCTGAAATTAACAATCTGATGTTTAGGAGGGTTTGAATCAAGACCGTTTGAAGAAAGCCAGTGGTTAGTTTTGGGTAAGAAACCATTCATTTGCGAACAATACAACTGTGAGAGAAGTGGGGTAGAAGCACTCGGGTCATCAGCATAACTCATGAAGTCAGATAAAAAATAAAAAGTGTAGCACACTAAAGCACAAAAGCTACAGGAAACCAACAAGCTAATCCTTTCCCTTTATGAACAGAAAACTGTTTTCCCTAAAGAAAATTAGAATACAACAATTTTGTGACGAACCTCCCCTAGTTCACTAGTTACTAGCTGGTCCTAAATCTGGATAAAGAGGCTAGGTTGTGCATAGGGCTAGCAACCATACCCCGTAAAACCAATCCAATCGCTTAAGAAACTTCAAAGCACAAACAAAATATAAAACATAAAAACAAACCCATTCCTCACCGGAATCGGGGAGACGAAATGACGCCGGTTGGTGAAAGCCTTCGGGAACCCAGTCGGCCAATGTGTCTTTCCTCCCTCCCTCCCTGTCCCTCTCAATGAAAGCAAAAGCAAGCATAGGGACATAGAATGTCAACACAATGTATGAACCTACCAAGGCTGCCCAGATTACAAAAGAGATGAGAAGATACAGCAAAGAAGTGCTAAGAATCTGTAAAAGCAGATGGAACGAAGGTGAGCTCTCCAAACTATCAACTGGAGAGTCAATAATCTACTCCGATATTGTCACCAACACGACAACCACCAGCACACTGAGTTTTAGAGTGGCTATCATAGCGTCTCTAGGAGCATCGAAGGCTCTTGCGCATGCAGTGGGAACCAATCTCCTCCTCCAGGATCAGGCAGGATCATGACAGCAAGATGGATTCAACTCAAAAGAAAGAAGAGTCACAATCATTCAATGCTACGCTATGCACCTACAAATAATGCAGATGAAGAGAAGGAGGAATTTCACAGAAGATTACAATCAACAAGACCACTCCCCAGATGGCGACATCAAAATTCTAATGGGTGGGGTGACATGAATGTCAAACTGTGGGGAGTGGACAATACAGGAAGAGAACTCATCCATCATCGGTCGAGAAGCACTCGATGAAATGAATGATAACGGAGAACTGTTTGCAGATTTCTGCACATTCAACTATTTCGTGATTGGAGACAGTGTGTACAAACACAAGGATATTCACAAGGCAGCGACATGGATTTGAATTCACCAGACACCAGGACACACTAAACATCAGATCGACTTCATTTCAATGTGAAGCAAGTGGAGACGCAGCCTACTTGACACAAGATCAAGAAGGAGAGCAGATGTAGGTTCACACCACTCACACCACTATCTAGTGAAAGGAACCCACCTTCAAAAGAATCAAGTTGAGAGCCTTCAAAGAAGCTGGTGATGATGGACCACAGTTTGAGTTCAACACCAAGAACAGAAACTGAAGGACGAAACTACAAAGAAAATCTTCACGGCAGCCATCAAGACAAAGTGGGAGATATCGAGTAACATCCCTGAAGAAACCTGTGTGGATGAACACTGGAACTCTTTGAAAGAGATGTGGAAAGAAACCTGCATAACCGTATTAGGAAGGCAGGAGAAAGAAGATAAAGAATGGATCTCGACGAACACCTGGAAGCTGATAGAGGAGGGAGAGGAAGATGGTGAAGCAGATGAACAAGTGCAAGAATGAACAACGAGAAGACGAACTGAATGCAACCTATAAAACACTGGACAAAGAAGTGAAGAAGCGTGCACACAAAGACAAAAGACACTTATACGAAACGCTGGCAAGTGAAGCATAGGCTGCAGGTAGGAGAGATAGAGACCTGACAACATTGTATCAAATAACCAAGTTACTATCTGGAAGGTAAGAGATCAACACAGATGAAACTAATAAGAGATGATGAAGAAAATTTAATTACCATGGAAGAGAAACGATGGGGTGACCACTTCAAAAAGCTCTTGAATCGACCACCACCTGCTTTTCGTCCAGAAACACCACCAGCATCTACAGGACTACCAGTGAACACAAGCCCTCCGACGAAAGTCGAAATGCTGAATGTCATATAGTTGCTGAAATGCAGAAAAGCATCAGGACCAGATGGAATCCCGTCAGCAGCACTGAGAGCAGACGCAGAGACATCAGCGGATATGCTCACACCACTACTTCAAAAGGTCTGAAAGGAAGGGAAGCTACCTGGCGATTGGAAGATGGGCTACCTTATCAAACTCCCAAAGAAGGGAGACATAAGTCTTTGCAAGAACTGGCGAGGAATCATGCTCCATTCCTGTCCGCCTCAAGCAAAATATTAAGCCGCATCATCCTGGAGAGACTAAAGGATGCGTTGGATTCAAAATTACGACCGGAACAGGCTGAAATCAGGAAGAACGAATCATGTGTGGATCAAATTGCAACGCTATGCTACGCATCTTCATAGAACAGAGAACAAAAATGGCAGTCAACTCCCTACCTCAACTTCATTGACTTTGAAAAGGCCTTTGACAGCGTCGACCGCGAAGTAATTTGTCAGCTGCCGCTTCAACACTATGGAGTACCACAAACCTTTATCAACCTGATTCAACAGCTATAGGAAGCTACATGCCAAGTGATCCACAATGGGAAGGTCAGTGATGCCTTTGAAGTGAAGACAGGAGTAAGACAAGGTTGCTGCCTACTATCACCAATGATCTTCCTGACTGTGGTGGACTGGATCATGCAGCCAAAAATGAGGAGCGAGAAGATGGGAATACCCTGGCTGGACAGGGGAGAAGATCCTAGAAGATTTGCATTTCGCCGATGATTTATGTTCGATGTCGCACAAACTCGAAGATCTACAGGCAAAAACTAACAAGTTGGAAGAAGAAGCAGGACAATGAAGATTGGACTTGCTTCAAGTGAACGCAGAGAAGACAGAGGTGATGAAGATACCCAACGAACAACAGCATCAACAACAAGCACCAATCACCATAAACGGGAGAATTTTGAAGGAAGTAGCCTCTTTCACCTATCTAGGCAGAATCGCTTCAACTACAGGCGGCACAGACGAGGACGTCAAAATTAGGATCTGAAAAGCAAGACAGGCTTTCATTAATTATGAAATCAGTGTGGAGCTCTACTGCACTCAGCACAAAGAACAAGATCTGGGTTTTCAACACCAATGTCAAGTCAGTGCTTCTATGTGATGGTTGAGAGAATTGGTGCGTTACGAAAAGCATTTCCAACAAACTACAAACATACATCGCATCAACAGCTGACACCTACACCCACTCGATACTGACACTGAAGATCAGATGGCCAGAATAGCATTTCCAACAAACTACAGACATTCATCGACAGCCACCTATGCTCGTTGCTGAAGCTCAGATGACCAGAAAGAACAAGGAACTCTGACCGGGCAACGAACAAACAAAGAAGCTGTCGCTCAACAAATATACAGAAGGAAGTGGAGATGGATTGGGCATACACTGAGAAGGCCGACTGGAGACATCATGCTCCAGACCAGGCTCTCGAGTGGAATTCATAGGGGAAACGACGAGTTGGGCGTCCGAGGGTGACACGGAGGAGATGGTGTGAGGAAGAAATGAGAGTTTATGGGCAGTCGTGTCGCCAGGTTCAAAAGACTGCAGAGAACAGAGTTCAATGGAGACGTGCTACTGAAGCCCTATGTTCCACTAGGAACCCAAGTGACAGGTAATAATAATAACAATTCTATTATAGTGGTTCATATCACACAGCGAATGTTACGTCGCACTATTAAGTTACTAACATTTCAATCAATTTCTATACCATCGGAAAGCATCTCTATTGATAGCAACTAGAATATCTTGGAACTCATATTAATAGATAATTCAACACTAACTGAAGTGACATTGCCTAGTCCTTAATGTAGAGGGAATTCTATTGATCCAATTAATAAACTGATCAACAAGTTAAAAGACTCGTCATTGCAATGTACAATATTCCATTTTCGTTAGCTGGAGCGAATTAAAACAAACCACCTAACCTATGCTCTATACTATTTAGAAAGTTGATTATAAACTCCCTTTATTCAAGTCATTCAATGGTCAACTATCTAAGGTATTCTATTCCGTCAATTTTCTTGTTATTGCTGAAAGTGTAGTATTTCCAAAATGTAGACTGTAAACTTGCCTGTAAACTGCTTAAATGATTCTTAGATAAATCCAATATTTCAAGGCAATGCAGGTTATATAACTGTCCACAAATATTATGCAATTGATTTGAGCCTAGTCTCAACTCTAAAAGGCTTTCACATTTTGTTAAACAATTGTTTAAATCTTCAATTCGATTATTGTATAACCATAAACGTCGAAGATTTGGAAGATTCGAGAAGACATTTGCATCTGGCATCAGTTTCAACTGAAGATTTGATAAGTTTAAATCAGTTAACAGAAACCAAACAGAACATAAACAATTAGGATGTTTCAGTTTGTATATTCTTTCAAAATCCTCTACACGACATTTGAGTGCTTTAAAAAGTTTATATAATTCTTTTTTTTGATTTTCATTAGAAACAGAACTTTTTAAATTGTCCAAATAATTCAATGGATCAGTGTACATTGATTCGTTTGGTTTATTCGATAGCAATTTATTTTTTCTGTGCTTTTATCATTTATATCATAGGCCTAAACAAAAACAACCTTGTACTTGAATAAAATCACCTCAGTTACACACTAACCTTGTAAGAATAATCATCCAATGACATTATTGTAATTTTGTGGTTATTTCTTTCAATACAACAAACAATGTACTTCAGTTCTGTGGTAATACAGTTACCCTAAAAGGAATTATTTTATAACATCTGAACCGAATAGTATTTGGGTACAGTAAGGTATTACTCATTGATGATTTGTAGGAATTAACTGATTTCAAAAGGGTCTTCACTACGGATTATCATAAATTAGAAAACAGTTGACGGTCATTTTGTACTAGTTTTGTACTTCATAGCTGGGCGCATTAACAACCGAAAGAGAGATAGAGTACCAGACCGTCTTCAAAAATGATTCACATAAATAGTTCAAGACCATGTTGATTGATACTACGTTTTAGTTTGCCTACCTATGACGTTCTTATCACAGTAACCCACTTAATCTCGTATTTCTGGATGAAGTGGATAGTGACTAGACATGCTTGACACATGTCGCATCCACCTAAATCGGTGTAGGTTGACAAGCCCATCAGCTAACTTAAATCCTTTGACGAAAACATTCGAATTCTACTTTACTAACCTGAAAGCTCCACAAAGCATGATATGTGCTACGAAGATGATAATGGTCAAACACCTGATATCCTTTTTATCTGTTTACATAAGCAGGGTTGTTTTCGTCAGTAACAAACAATACTTGATTATACAGTACCCCTTTTTTAGTACATCAGAAGTACATAGATTTATAATGAAAAATACATTGTCAAACTTTTCTATTCTATCATGCCTTGTTTTCAACTGCATTTTTCATCCGCCTCTTTGTGATACTCATTCCATAAAGGAGACGGAACGACACATGACGTGTGGAGATTTCTATGGAATCTGAGAAATTCAATCTTTTCCCAAAATTCAAAGAAATCTTTCATACTGTGCTCTATAACTTCTTTTAGAAGTTGCTTTGCCGCCTCCACTAACCATTTCTGTTGTTGCACAATGGAGCGAATGAGATATTTTTGATGGTGTTGTGTTCTCTGAGTTGGATTATTTAATCGTGGAGCTTTCGTTGTCATTCTAGACGACATCATCAGCACAAACTTCAGAAAGAAGTGAGTGATACGGTTTTCTCCGCAATTTATTTACTTCCTTCTTCCGGTGGCCTTGTGTGTGACTGATTGTTTCTATCAAGGTCTTGTCGTAGTCTCCATGTTTATTTTGATTGGTTGTCCTGATGATCTGAAATCTGACCTTCTTGTTGCTTCCTTTTGATTGATAGACTGAGTCAATGTCGATATGTCTATTAATTGCCGACTGACCTGAATAATAAGCTTGCAAAAATTCCCTGACATTCTTCATATTTCCTTCATCCAAGATTTACACATTTTCCCAGTCAAATTCATGTCCAAAGATGTTTGTATGTATTGATATGAGCGAAGACATGTCATGAAGTTTCACTACTTGTTGATGTTCATGTAGACGGATAAGAAGAGGACCACTACTCTGTCTGATTTAGTGTTTTTCACAGTTTCTGTAGTTTATTTTGTAGATAATGTTTGGTCTGTCTCCCTTTGCTGTCGTATCTTTTGGCCTGCATAATAGAGACTCAAGAGATTTTGTGGACTTGTGGGATGCAGTGGTTCTAAAAGGCTTTATTAATCTAGTCACGATCTCGGAGATGTTCTTAATGTAGGGTCGGACAGTCTGTTTGTTAGCTTCCAAGGTTGACTGATTGGTTGATGAAGAATTATTCAAACATTTTTTGATGAAATTGTGTGAATGTCCGTTCTTCTGGAAAGTAGCCATCAAACAGTTTCCTTCTTTTCTCAGCAGGGTTGATACACTACGGTGTGTTTTCGCTCTTTTGAACAGTGTTTTTTATGTGACTCATTATATGCGCTGTTGGGTTGTTTTTATTGTAGTTGAGGATTTGATCCACATAAGTTGGTTTTCAGCGTACTTCAGTTTCCAATTTCCCCGAATCCGTTCTACTGATGAGAGCATCTAAAAATGCAAGGCTGTTGTTTGATGTCGTCGGAAATGCTGTTGATTATTTTGTAAGCGTTTTCCAATTCATTTCTTTCAATGATTACAAACGTGTCATCGACAAAGAGGATCCAAAGTTTCGGTTTGATGGATAATAATACCCCTACTACTTCTGGAATTAGTCCTAATATAAGCGATCTCATTGATGTTTCCTTTGTCGTTTGTAGAGTTTGCCGTTGAATTGAAAAACTATTGTAAGGTGTAAATCAATTAATTCCATCAAGCTTGAACACTACAGTTCCGTATGTTCCAATATGAATACATCATTGTTAAGGAGATGATTTACTATATCCTCAGCCAGTTTCAGTTCAGTTGGGGTATACAAAGCTGTAACGTCGAAAGACACCATCATTTAGTCATTGATTACATCAATGTGCTTGATCTTTTCCATAAACTGTGTTGGAGAGTTGGAAGAGTGGTTACATGATTCTACCAGATGTTTTAATATACTGAAGAGTTCTTTCAAAAGATTGTATGATGGGATTCCTGGAAGCGAAACAAATGGTCGAAGTGGGATGTTTGGTTTGTGTAATTTTAGTTTACTATAGAAATGTGGGACAACAGGTCAGCTGGATTTCATTCTCCATTGATCTTGTTTTGTAATTTGTCCCGCTTTGACGAATTTGTTCAAGGTCTTGGTGATTTGGTCATCAAACTTTTGAATGGGATTTGTCTCTATTGGTTGAAATACATTTTGATGTAGTCGTCTTTATCCATGACTACTGTGGTGCGTCCTCTGTCAGCTTGAATTATGAGGACGTTCTTTTTTATTCTTCAGTTTCGTAAGAGCTCTCTGTTCTTCAGTGGATAGTTGAGTGCAGGTTTACTTCCGCCCGGTCAGAGGTAAGATTATTTGTCGTATTTCCTGTGGGATCTCTGAATTCAGTCTTGAGGTCTTCAATGATGATTTTAGGGATGCGAAGAATTCTGATCCTGGAGCGTCTTCTCAATTTGTAATGTAATCCTTTCTGAAGGAGAAGTTCGTCGGATTTAATCAGGCATTGCTTGGACAAGTTGATAACGCAGTCAGTTGTTTTTTTCCCTCCTGATGCCCGTGATTTTGAGATCTTGGTAAGTGTCTCTCGAAGGATGTTTTTTTTCTGTTCTTTATGTCGTCTACCTGATCTTTCAGTCACAGTTGCCAACGTTATAAAGTGTTCTGTTATGAGTGTCTCTTAGAGTTTTCTCTTTTGACTTTCTACTGTCCGCTGATACTTAAGAATCCTGTAATAAGAATCGTTGACCATCAGTTGTACCATGTGTCCTCCACTCTTTTCCACTAATTTCCAACCAGTTGGACAGTCAATAGGCGTTTTGTCTCAGGTACCACTTGGATGAACATGCTGGTGTAGACACTAGTGGAGAAAATTTGGTTGTTTTCTTACGGAAGCCTCCCTCCTGGCGAATTTCTCCCATTTCCAGACAATCAGAAGCGTTTGACGCTCTCAGGATTTTGATACGACAGAGAATGAGATGTACCAAGAAATTTTTGAAAAGACAATAGGTTTTTGTGTTTTTGGAGAACCTTTACAACTGGATGTAAAAGTAGTCTGTCGGTCGAAACGATTTATACAGACCCAAATTCAGATCTTCCTCTCTGATCTTCTTCATTGACTCTGCTAACTATTACTCTGTCTTCTAGCGCACATCCCTTTCAGTCGACAACTTTGAAATTACCTTTCTTCGCTAAACAAGACATTCATCTAATCTGCGTAATCCATTTGATTCATAAGAACTATTCCTCTCTCTCTCCCTCTCTCTCTCTCTCTAGCTTCATTATCACTAGGATCTGGTTCATTTCAAGCTTTCTTAGTCATTTATCGTCTTGTTAATTATAATCGCTACATTTCTTGTTGTATAGCAATAGTATGCCTACAAACTAATGAAGATTATTCAAAAATTAGAGTTCAAAACTGTGAGATCTATCGCACTAGTCAAAGAAAGCCCCATACAAACAACGAATTAGTTTCTCAAAAAAATGTCAGTACACTAGCTGGCCAGGTTTATTTAAACATGAAAGCAAACAGATTTAAGGTGAGTTATAGTATTTACCGTCTTCATTGAAGATAAGTCTTGGTTTGTGTTTTAGATTGAGTGAATTATTAATGTGTCAACTATGATATCCTGTTTGATTGCTCAAAAATTATCTCACAAAAATACCTGAAAATTAGGAATTCATTTCTAAAAACCAACAAGATAATGTGTTATAAATTTTGGTCACCTAATCTAGTTGTCACGATGGCCTTGAACAATGATAAAAAGCTTATGATATGGTCTAATTAAGTTTTTTACCAACTGATATTGTTTATACACACCTTTTGTCACAGATTTAGATTTGTTATCAGATGAATCGGTTACCAAAGCCTAGTATGTATGGCTAAGTGGAAATACATTTGGACCATGGTAATAATTTTCATTTTTTATTTTGTTTTTTTAATATTTTCTACTCCTTCCTCCTCACTCTCTGTGTTATTTGTTGTCCAATCAAAATGGAGGAGGAAACATCCCATGTGGTTGGTTGCACGAAATCGAAAAGTACTATAAAATGGAGCAAACTGATGAAAGGTTGGTTTCTTTTCATGATGAGCGACAACACTGTCCAAAGTGTTGTACCGAAAACTAATCAATCTTTATGGAGTGTTTTTGTCTCACTGCATTTCTGTCCTTAAAGTCTTTGAAGGTCGCCCTAAAGGAGTATGAGAATCAGACGTACACGCACTACGTTGTGCGAGATTCACATTTGCATGGTGACCGAAGAGCCTACGTCAGGTTTGTTTGCTTCTAGGCTCATGAACGCCAGTCAGTAGGTGGTGTAGTAACAAAAAAGTCAATTCTGAATGTTTTGATTTTATATTTCGTAGAATATCCCTGAAATGTACTTATCGGGCGTTTGTGTTCGTATCCCTTCTCGCACCAAGAAGCCAACTTTAGATGGTAGTTTTACCATTCTTAAGCGATGAACAGCGATTCCTCACTATCCTCCGGTTTGTACAGAAAATTTTAGCTGGCAAGACACCCATTCCAGTAGACGCAAGTCGAGAACATTTCGCAGAACACAGTTTTTCAGGTGATTCCGAAGAAGAAATAGAATTGACGGCTGTAGCTGCGAGTACGATCACGGCGCAGACAGTGGAATACCAATAATTCCATTTGAAACAATTTCACGGTCACCTATAATAACAATTACTCGTCCAGGAAATAACCGTAGACCTAGACCCTAGTGTCGACCATCAAAGAGGGGCTATGGAATCGGTCACTCGGAACTCTAGGAAGATGGACCATGTAGATGTAAAAGAAGAGGGAAATTATATCTACAGAGTAGCTTGTGAGGTTTGTTTCCAAAGTGATGCACTAACCTCCATTCCATATGCCGGCACATGGTTAGCATGCCGTTGTTGTGCAACACTCCGTATATGCCGCTCATGAAATCCACACCCAAGCAGCTTTTATTTAGAATGCCCTGCATGTGGAGGCAACTCTTGGCGGGAAGGTAATATCAACAACAGTTACAGGGATTTTTGTAAAAAAGGATCATTTGCATCTTCGACTCCCGCAGCAGTACCCACCTCACTTTTAGATGACAGATGAAGACAAACTGCACCGAAAAAGAATTTCTACTTCATGACGGAAGTGAACGAACAAAGGCCCTTCTCAGGGCCATCCAAAATGTGATTTGAATAACTTTTTTTGTTCTTTCCAATAACTCAGAAGTGATTATCCATGCTTGACTACTTCACTTATCAACCGAATAAATGTATTACAGAATAGCAGATTGTTAAGGAGTGTAAAACAGAGAATGATAACTACCTATTATGCAGTTAAGGTTTGAATAACTGAAAAGTCGAAGCGTATATACCCATGAAAGCTCTTGGAACAGGTGAAAGATAAAGTCAAGTCCCATTGTGTTTTATTCATTTGAATGTATGTGAGGTCATCTATAGCTAATAGTAGCAACAATTGATCATATTAAAAGTATTTATCCGAATATCCAGATATATGGAGAGATGATTATTTACAAAATATCACTTTAAATGACCTCAGTGAATTATCTTCAGCCATGAAAAACTTCAGGTAACATTATTTATGCCAGTCATCGGAACTCTAGGTATAGGCTGAAAGTAAAATGTTACCAGAGGCAGCCTATTCTAACCCCAAGTAAAACCTTGGAATGGTCGTTAGTGCAACTGAATGAAGTATCCGTAATGTTTAAGCCTTCGTCTTGTAATAAGTTTTGGTTGGTCAATGAAACTATATCAGTTCTTAACATCCATATCCTTTCAGTGAAATGTTTCGGAAACTGACATATTCTCTTGCAAACAACAATGCAGTTATAGTGTGACCTGCATAAGAATTCGCTGTTGATCTGCTCCATTAGGGAAGTTTCATTTCATCAACTAAGAAAATTTTCGATGGAATCCATGCATTTGCTAGATACAAAAAATGTAAGAAGTGAACTCAGGATACTTTATGAAACTGTTAAGTATGGTTGAAAGCGTCGCCAAAAATCCTTGTTTTTTTCCCTTATGCACAAAATATTAAATGCTTACACAGTATTTATAAGCCAATTTACCACAGTTATTTGCTAACAACAAGTATTCCGATACACTTCCACTTCTTAGAAGCCTAGTAAATTAAATAAATGCTGTCTCTTAATCACATCTGAAATAAAATAGTTTCATCGCTGTCATATCTTAGACATCAAATCCACTCTCAATAAAAAGTTTCGAAGGGCAGAGTACATTGTGGTAGTTTCGTGGCAAACACGGAGATACAATGTTAAATTTGCCCATATGAACGTGATTACTCAGTTAGTAGATGTTTTTGAAGACCACCTTAATGTAGGTCAGAACTATTAAGGCAGAGTAATCAGTTTCTCACCAACATTATCCTTAAAATTACAGCTAGTAGTGTATTCCTACAAGGATTTAAATATATCACTGAAAAGATTCTGTATTGTCGGATGGAATACTATAAGTACATTTCAGATGAAAAGTTTACAAACAATGGATAGCTTTTATTTCAGTAAATCAACAAAATATTCCAGCTGTTGGTTCAACCATGGGCAGTAATTTTGTTTGAATTATTATCAAAATAAGAACTTATCATTATGTGAAAAAGTTCTACTAATACATTTAAGATTTAGATTTTTCTGCAAACCTCATTTACAGTTATAAATTACACTCAATACATATTGATCTCAGTGACTACCGGGACGGGTGTTTCGTCCCACTTGAGACTCATTAGCTAGACGTACCTGCGACCCAGTGAGTGATGTAGTTCCCACTGTGAATCGAACTCAGTATCCATCGCTTAAACCGAGTACTAAATAGAACAAAACGCCAGTTCTGAAGTCCTCTGTTAGTCACCAAGACCAATGTTACATCATGAATCAGCAGTAGTATCAAAGCATCCGCATAGGAGCCCATCTACCAACAGAGGTCGAGCAACTCAGCCCTGTATAACAACGGGAAATTACAATTTTCAGAACAACAACTACACCCAAAACATTTTAAAACAGATTCCCTGAAATATTACACCACATTGTCACTACAAAATTAAATTCTCTACAAATTGCAAATTCATTTTGGATTTAATCTTGACCTGATGGCGATTAATCTCTTAAAACAGAACTCACGTAACAAGTGATGATGATTTTATAAGCCAATCTGAATAGAGATAGCTTATCTGGGCTCAACTAATCAGATTCCTACAAGTAAGTGTCCTAGTTCAATAGGTAAGTGTGTTCAACACAGAAACACACTGACTTTTAAACAGAGGAATCAGCCAATCATTTTTCATTTCCGATTTCTTTCGTCCACCATAAATAAATCAGAGGGGAGAAGTGTGCCGGGTAGTAAAAGTCAACCGCCTAAGCGATTCGCATATGCAATGACTTTGTGCTTCTAGGTCACTTTCATATATTACACATTCAAAATTCACGAAATCAATAACAATTTCATAAATTAAAATGGATGGACATTCGCAGTTATGTAAACTACCAACTAATGGTAGAGAAATGATGAGAATTAATGGAGTTTACATGTATATTATTAATGAATCTGGTCAAGCTGCGGCAATATTAGGATTTCATCCCATGGTCATAGTGGTATACGAAGACACTGAAGATTCAGAACCTGTTAAAGGCTATTTACTTGTTGGTAGATGGATATATCCATTAGCAGGTTCCTTTTCACCTATTTATATTTGGGGACCAGGTAATATTACTATGCCTGAACCGTTTTCACAATTAACAAAACCGGTATATATCGTGATCAGATTACCGATAGGTATGTCTCGTCATCAAAAAGATACTTTATGTAACATAATTGATGTAAATGCTCATTTACAAGGTAAATTTAGTAATCTTACGTCAGAACAAATAAAAGCGATGGATAAATCATTTGAGTTGACTGAAATTACACCCATGATAAACTTTTACTGGATAAAACTGAACAAGGCATTAGTCAACCAGATGCTGATATGAATAGCATCTAGCAGAAGCTAAATACTTTTAAAGAGAAAGCTGGTAGACCGAGTGTTGCATTTTCTTATGTAAAAAGTCATAAATTAAGTATACCTCAGTACATATTTCATCGTCAGCGGTCGAAAAATCATACTAAACCATCACAAACAGCACAAAGAGATAGTAAATTAAATAATCCTACATGTTTCCCACTAATTTCCAATTATGAAAAGTTAGCGTCCAAAACAAATTGGCCAGGTGGTTGGCGTGAAATGTAAAAACTACTAGCTGGTAAAGGCAATCTGATAAGAATATACATTTTAGGTCCACGTGATTCTCAGCATATTAAAATCTCTAGAATAATGGAATGGATACCTGTAACACAAATACTCTTAAATTCGGTGAATGCTGCTTTTCATGAACAAGTTCGACTAAGAAAAGAGAAAGAACTTTATGGTATGCCACTATGTTTTGAAGGTCAGCGTTTACGTCTTGTAAAAGGTTGGGGTGCAGCAGAGGATTTAAATACATTTGGAATAGCTTTTAAAAGTGAAATAGGTATCACAACGCCATTTAAAGGCATATCCAGATTGGATACAACTCATATCCAAATATTTTAGTCTGCAACTACCCTACAGAGTCTTGAAGCAGCAGTCAATTTATTCGACTATTCCATGGATTGCTGTAAATTATACCTTATAAGTTATTCATATGATGATTTAGATTTGGCTAAAAATAAATTTACAACTTACACTACCTCACTGATACCACCTGTGCTTGTAACTCGCTATAAAAAATTACGCTGCATATTTACTAAGTTAATGAAAATTAGTGAAACAATTGAAGACGATTTTGTCTATTCAAAAAGTAACCATTATACAGAACGTTTACATGAAGACTGTGAACACCATTATCCAAAATTACATCCAAGAAATCCTGTTTTAGATCTAAAATATTCTTATGCATATGAACCGTCAACATATTCAGCATCTTCAATTGAATGGTAGTAATTCAGTTTTTTCGAAAAAAAACGTCTCCGAAAAATGACTAAAAATTTCTTCAACAAGCGAAATAACCAATGAATAACAATTTAAAAGATTCACTTAACTTTATGACTATTAATGTGGTCAAAACTTAAGTTAGATGAAAAAACGTGAGAAAGAGAAATCCTTATAAGTGCTACAAATTCTAGGAATTTTGTTTCGGTTCGTCCTTGAAAATAACTTATTCAGAGAAAGATGACCGACAAAGAATAACATTTGTAATTGAAGACATTTGTCCGTTTGTTTCATTTATTTGTCTTTCAAAACATTAAAGGATTTCATGGAAAGTGCTGTTTGTTTTAAATTTGATTTTCCTTAAGTAAATATCGTAGTGACTTAGAAGAAAGGTCAAACTAGTGAGTACATAGAAAAAATGATACTCCATATCCTGACTATATGTTTGTCGTTTGATGGTGAAAACGAACTTGTATTGATATAAAGTTGGATTTAGAAGCAGTGTACCCTTTTCTTCACTGTCACTCCCAGGTATCAGACTGTTGAGAATAATTGTAAAAAGGAAGAAGTGGCAGAGTGAGTTAGACTATAGTTTCATACTAGATTCATTTATTCAACATAGCACACGGTGATATTGTAGTGAGCGTTGCTGATAAGAATAGATACAAGTAGTATGTGTTGAGACGGCGGCAGAAATCATAAGCAATTACTAAGAATTCTGCCCAGAGAAACTCAAGAGACGACGCGGGCGTATTAAGAGGAAATCAGGATAGAAGCAGAAGGACAAATGAAGCACATTATGCAAACAACTGTCTTAGTATAAGGTGTACATATTTGATGATTACTGTGCTAGATATTACTAATAAACATTCTTTCCTGCGTCTCTATCTTATCGTTTCCTTCAATATTACTATCTGCCCCATATTTTAGTGTCCAAACAATTCTAAAAATGTATTTTGAGGTTAATCGGGAATTCATTTTTAAGACATTTTTCATCATGGACTGACATCAGTTAGAGAAACTTTGAAAACCTAGGAGCTCTGGACAGTTGTTTCGTCCTAGTATGGGTCTCCCCAACAGCACTCATACCACCAGGGATCAAACCAAAGACTTTCAGGTTTGACGGTGGACACGTTAACTACTCAACCTGTGGGTTAGAGTTCAATAGTCCACAGTTCCCTACTTCTGGCATTTCACGATGTAACATAACCAGTATTCAAGATCTTTAGTTGGCATATTGCTTCACTGTTGACTGGTTGACCCCACTAGACACAGCTTCTCAAGAGATCATCGGGCATTTCATTAATGGGCACTATGTAGTTATGCAACCTCGCCTGGTTAACTAGTTCACTAGTTACTAGCCGGTCCTAAGCCCGGGTAAAGAGGGAAGGTTGGGCATACGGCTACCAACCCTACCCCGTAAAACAAATCTAACCGCTAAACAAACTTCAAAGCACAAACAAAATATAAAAAATGAAAACAAACTTATTCCCCGCTGGAATCGGAGAGGCGAAATGACGCCAGTTGGTGAAAGCCTGACTTCGGGAAGCCAATTGGCCGATGTGTCTTCTCTCGATGAAAGCGAAAGTAAACGTGGGGACATGGAATGTCCGCACGATGTTTGAACCCAGTAAGGCAGCCCAGATTGCAAAGGAGATGAGAAGGTATCACATCGAAGTGCTTGGGATTTGCGAAAGCAGATGGAATGGGAGTGGACTCTCCAAACTGTCAACTGGAGAATCAATCAATCAATCAATAATCTACTCCGGTCACCCAGACGACAGCTACTAGCACACTGAGGGAGTGGCTATCATGATGTCCCCAACAGCATCGAAGGCTCTCATGCAGTGGGAACCAATCTCCTCCAGGATCATGACAGCAAGATTCAACTCAAAAGGAAGAAAGGTCACAATCATACAATGCTATGCCCCTACAAATAATGCAGAGCAAGAGAAAAAGGAGGAATTCTACAGACAACTTCAATCAACACTGGACAAGACGTCAGTTGGCGATATCAAAATTCTAATGGGCGACATGAATGCCAAACTGGGAGGGGACAACACAGGAAGAGAACTAACCATGGGTCGAGAAGCACTCGGTGAGGTGATGAACGAGAATGGAGAATTGTTTGCAGAATTCTGTGCATTCAACGATTTGGTAATTGGAGGCAGTGTGTTCAGGCACAAGGATATCCACAAAGCGACATGGATTTCGTCAGATGGACACACTAAAAATCAAATCGACTTTATCTCAATGTGAAGAAAATGGAGACGCAGTCTACTTGACACAAGGTCAAGAAGAGGAGAAGATGTAGGTTCACACCACTCACTATCTAGTGCAAGGAACCAGCCTTCCAAATCAAGTTAAAAGCCTTCAAGGATGTTGGTGATAGACCTCAATTCAAGTACAACACTCGGAAACTGAAGGATGAGACTACAAAGGACATCTTCACGGCAGCCATCAAGACAAAATGGGAGACATCGAGGGACATCCCTGAAGAAACCTGTGTGGAAGAACACTGGAAGTCTTTGAAAGCTATGTGGAAAGAAACCTGCACAACAGTATTAGGAAGGAAGAAGGTGGAAGACAAGGAATGGATCTCGACGGATACCTGGAAGCTGATAGAGCAGGGAGAGGATGATGGTGAAGCAGAAGATAAACCAGTGCAAGGATGCTCAACGACAAGAGGAACTGAGCACAATGTATAAAACACTGGACAAAGAAGTGAAGAAGAGTGCACGCAAAGACAAAAGACACTTCTACGAAACACTGGCAAGTGAAGCAGAACAGGCTGCAGGTAAGAGTGATAGAGACCTGACGACATTGTATCAAATAACCAGGTTGCTATCAGGGAAGAGACCAACACAGATGAAACCAATAAAAGATGAAGAAGGGAATTTAATTACGAAAGAAGAGAAACAAAGGAAACAATGGGCCGACCACTTCAAGAAGCTCTTGAATCGACCACCACCTGCACTTCGTCCAGAAATACCACCTGCAGCCGCTGAATTACAAGTGAACATAAATCCCCCAACGAAAATGGAAGTCCTGAACGCCATAAAGCTACTGAAATGTGGGAAAGCAGCAGGACCAGATGGGATACCGCCAGAAGCACTGAGAACAGATGCAGAGACAACAGCGGACATGCTCACACCACTATTGCAGAAGGTGTGGAGGGAAGAGAAGGTACCTGACGATTGTAAGAAGGGTTACCTTGTCAAACTCCCGAAGAAGGGAGACCTCAGTGCTTGCAAGAACTGGTGCGGAATCACTCTCCTGTCCACCCCAAGTAAAATATTAAGCCGCATCATCCTGGAGAGGCTTAAAGATGCACTGGATTCAAAACTGCGACCGGAACAGGCAGGCTTCAGGAAGTACAAATCATGTGCAGACCAAATTGCAACTCTTCGTATCATCATAGAACAGAGCTTAGAATGGCAATCAGCTCTATACCTCAACTTCATCGACTCTGAGAAGGCCTTTGACAGCGTCGACCGAGAAGTAATTTGGAAGCTGCTTCATTACTACGGAGTACCGCAAACCTTTATCCGCCTCATTCAACAACTATATGAAGATACCACATGCCAAGTAATTCACAATGGGAAGCTCAGCGATGCCTTTGAAGTGAAGACAGGAGTGAAACAAGGTTGCCTACTATCCTCCATGATATTCCTTATTGTGGTGGACTGGATCATGCAGCAAACAGTAGGCAGCGAGAAGAGGGGGATACACTGGACTACGGAAAAGAACCTAGAAGACTTGGATTTCGCCGATGACTTGTGCCTGATGTCACATAAACTTGAAGATCTGCAGGCAAAAACTAACAAGTTGACAGAAGAGGCAGCTAAGACGGGACTTCAGGTGAATATAGAGAAGACAGAGGTGATGAAGATACCGCACCACCACCATCAACAACAACAACAACAAACTCCAATCACCGTCAACGGGAGAAACTTGAAGGAAGTAACCTCCTTCACTTATCTAGGAAGCACTGTTTCAACTACAGGCGGGACGGACGAGGACGTCAAAGTCAGAATCGGAAAAGCAAGACAGGCGTTCATTAGTCTGAAACCAGTGTGGAGATCTTCTGCACTGCACTCAGCATGTGGAACAAGATACGGATTTTCAACACCAACGTCAAGTCAGTGCTTCTGTATGGTTCAGAGACTTGGCGCGTCACGAAAGGCATTTCCAATAAACTACAGACATTCATCAACAACTGCTTACGCTCACCCGCTACTGAAGATCAGATGGCCAGAATAATGAATAAGCAACAAGGAACTCTGGGAACGAACCAACCAAGAACCTATCATGCAACAAATATGCAGGAAGAAGTGGAGATGGATTGGCCATGCACTGAGAAGGCCGCCTGAGGACATCACGCGTCAGGCCCTTGAGTGGAATCCCCATGGGAAGCGACGAGTTGGACGTCCGAGGGTGACATGGAGGAGGTCATGCGAGGAGGAAATGAGAGCTTCTGGGCTGTCGTGGAACCAGGTTCAAAAGATCTCAGAGAACAGAGGTCACTGGAGGCGTGCTACTGAAGCCCTATGTTCCACTAGGAACCCAAGGGACTAATAATAATATTATAATAATGTAGTTATGCATTCTGAGGTTAATGGGGATTTTATTTTCAATGGTTCTCCAACTTATATCCGTCTGTGATGAATACTACCTTAATTCTACAAAAATTTTATCCACCAAAAATATATACTACCCGAAATTAAATTTATTTATTTACATTAAATAATAACCGCGATAACTGATAAAAGCCCTTCGAGTTTTATGCCTTTCATCTGCTTTTCTTGTTGTTGTTACACGCTGTATTTATATTTACAGCTCAGCATCGTCTTAGCAGACACATACTATCCAGGTCACTCTGATTTCATATCTGTAGTCTGCTTATACATGTCAGCGCAGTCAATTATCCATAACAATTACCTCAGCCCAAAACGATTCATAAAATATGTAGCATTATCTACTGGATGACGTCTCGAACACATTACATT